AAACCTCTGTCACCATTTTATAATGTCTACTGTAATTCCTTCTTCAAGGAAGACTACTCTGGCTCAATAGTGGCATTTTTAAAGAAACTTTCAAAGGACAAAAGTGTCAGGAGATCTGGACTCCAGTAATCCTGGCCACTGGCAGCTACACCTTTCTAGGCAAGAATCTCAAAGATGCTGAGAATAGGGGCAGGTTAAGAACTGGATACTTAATTCTTCATCAAATTTCAAAGAGAAAAATAACACTAGGAAATATGGTGCACTGTATTACTGCATGTCATCTAATGCAACTATACATTTTGATCAAAGGAAAAATATCAAAGTCAATAAAAAAAACAAAACAAAAGAAAAAACCAGTAACCCGTATCGCCTGGAAGATTATGACATGCACCTGGACCGGCAGCCCATCGAATTAGTCCATCAATATGTGTATCTTGGGCAGGCGTTGCAGATGGATAATGAGCTGGGTCTGGAATTGAACAGGAAGAAATGGGGCTGGATTGCTTCCGGGAAATAGGGCATTGCTTTCAATGATCCTAAACTGTCATAGTGCAAAAGCCCACTTTAACACCAATATTCTACAGGTGATGTAGTATGTAAAATCAAAACTACACATGATCCAAAGGATAATGCAAAGATTCATAGGTAAATTGCAACATGTTAACAATGATGATGAGTGCAAGATGTGATACAACACATCAATGATATGCACTGCCACAAAAGAAGACCTATCATTCACATAATTAATATAAAAAACATAACAGATGGACAGCCTAAGTGTTACTGTCATACCCTTGAGAAAACTGCACAGGATGAAAAGTGTGGTGGGACAATGAGATGAGAGATTTTTCAAAGTATCACAGTAACCACAGTTAGAAGTTTACAGCCCCATGGAACCAATTAGATGATGGTAATGATAACAATTCATGTTATCATTTACAAAGCACTGTCCTTACAACACTTTTAGGCTGGTAGTATAATCTCCATTTTACCAATGAGAAAACAAGTTCAGAATGGGTAATACTCTCAAGATTGTATAGCTAGTTAAGTCTCAGTGCTATAACTTGAACCCAGATCTTCTAACTAACTCTAATGCTCTTTCTCTCATTCTATTACTTGTTAGTTTTTCACCATGGAGACCACACAAAATTCCTTAATCTTACCTGGGGTGTATCTGGCATCAGAACTTCCCCATCCTCCACCTATACGAAGGGGGGAATTATCCCATGTAGACAAGGGGGCCTTCTGACCAGTTAATCCCGGTGGCGGGCGGGACGGAGCAGTGATGTTTTTAGGTGGCAAAGGGACCTTCCACAGCTCATGAGCCAGAGAGGTGTTAGTGACTGAACCAGGAGACCATGTTGATTTGGAATCACTGTTTCTGGCTACTCAGAGGAAAAAAAGGTAAAGAAAAATGATACCAGAAAACAGGAAATCTAAAAACATTTGATCACTATGTACAAGCATTTGTTGGTTTTTATTTGGACGTAGGTTTAAGACTTCTGTATAGGAGATGCTACAATAGCCCAATTTAGTAAATATAGCCCAATACTACATTCAATAGGCTTTAAAAGGAACAGTTTACTTTGGGAATGGTGACTGAGCACTGAACAGTGCTAAACAACAAGGCTAACATATGGGAAGAAAGTACAGGTAGTGCATGTCAATTTCCACTTAACTGTATATGGAAGAAAAGAATCCACTTACCCATTTTTGAACGGAACAAAAAGGCTTTTGGAAAATACAACATATAACACTTTAGACACAAGGGAATGAATAAAGGGGAGGTCAACCAAAGTGTTGCCAACAACAACTGACTGTTCAAACTTTCTTTTCTTTTGTCAAACCCCCGGGCTAGAGGGGCTACCTGAAGTGCTTTGTGCTGTACTGCTGAGGGAAACATTGTAGTTGGAGGCACGAATGGATGACCAGGCACTAGTTGAAGGCAGCGTGGTGTTCAGAGATGAGGATGACCCTGTATTGAAGGGAACATTCGAGTTAGTTCAGGACACATTAGCACATTGTATGGCATTTTACTAGAAGAGGGGAATTCCACAAAACCGAAATAGACAAACATGACAGAACAGGAGACAGGATGTAGTCCATGTCACTGCCATAACAAACTGTGTAACGTTAGGTAAGGCACTTCCCTCCTGTAGGACTGGGCTGGGACAGATGACCTCCGGGGTCTCTCCGGGTGGCATTACCATTCTGACTACGAACCTAACTGATGTTCTTAGAAAGCTCTCTTGCAAATTAGTCTTAGGCTTTTTCTCAGGAGTTGGTCAAGCAGCAGTGGTTTTACAGTTGAAACTTTCACAATTAAAAAGGGAAGACAAATTTCCTTTCCTAGAATACCACAAAATGCCCTGCCCCACCTCGTACCATTAGACCTTCCCAATAAAGAGAGCTGCATCACTTCTGAGCTAGTTGCTTCTTCCTTTCCATTCTTTTGTTGATAAAACAAAACAACAAAAAACCTCTTTAACTTTCCATAATCTGTCTTCTATCTCTACTAGAACTTAATCTTTAAGATTACTCATGACCTTGTTCCCTCTTCTGAGAAGGTTATTCCCCTGGCTTCTCTGACAACACTCTGTTTCTATCCTGTAGTGAAGCATCATGTTGTAGAAAATGCAACGGACTTCTGATTATTAGAAGACCTGGTTCTGACTGGTACACCCTCAGTGTGAGCCCCCACTTTGATGGGGAGGGAGCACTGACACAAACACATTCCAACAAGATATGGATAACAGCTCTCCTTAAATCTGGTATGTAATTTTGGCCAGGAAGCCTTAGGATCATCTGTTCTAAGAAAAGCTCTGTGACACGATGAAAACACTCAATTTGGGAGTTAGAAGGACTTTGTTCAAGTTTCATTTCTACCACTTATTATTTATGTGACTATAGGCAAGCTGCTTTACCTCTTTTCCTCATCTGTGAAATAAGGAAAGTGTTATGTAAACTGTAAAATGCAACAGAAATGTTATTCTTATTATTAATCAGGTCCATTCTTAGCTTTAAAATTTCACTGGTTAAAACTTCATTTTTTACGTAATTTTGAACACAACTTGGTATAAGTTCTTTTACTCTATTACCCTGGGCAAGTCACTTCACCTCTGTCTCAGTTTCCTCATCTGTAAAATGGGGATAATAATAGCCCTTACCTCCCAGGGTGGTTGTGAACAACCAATGAGAGAATAATTCTTAAGTGTTCTGCACAGTGCCTGGCACGTAGTAAGCACTATATACATGCCATCTAGTTTATCCACTATTTTATGACAGTGTGAAGGATCTTTAAATCTTCAGGACTGAATGAAGTAATTGGAACAAGGGAAATGCTTTGGTCTATCTGTTTTGTTTGAAGTCTCTACAAAAGGGTCCTTAACTTGTTTTGTCAGTCTGGTGAAATAGGTGGAGAAGCCGTTCTCAGAATAATAGTTTTTTTTTGGCTAGGCAATGGGGTTAAGTGACTTGCCCAGGGTCACACAGCTAGTAAGTGTTATGCGTCTCAGGCCACATTTGAACTCAGGTCCTCCTGACTCTAGGGCTGGTACTTTATCCACTGAGCCACCTAGCTGCCCCCCAGAATAATAGTTTTTAAATGCATAAAATAAAATACATAGGATAAGAAGGTAAACCAATTATACTGAATTATATTTATCAAAATAAAAAATTCATGGATGCCAGGTTAAGAACCCCTGTTCTGCACTAATATTAAAGTTCTTGCATTAATGTGGAAATTTAAGGTTATCAGATTAGAAATGATTCTTATATAATTTATGAGACCTGCCATTTAATGGAGTATGGTACAGATGGTGGAAAAAGTGCCTGACGTGGAATGAGACTTGTGCTTAAACCTTGGTCCTAAGAGTTGTTAGCTAGGTGACCTTCTCACCTATAAAATGGAGGAAAAAAAACAAACTACCCACCTAATAAGGTTTGTTTTAAGGAAAATACTTTGTAAACTATGCTTCAACACTACAGACCTTACTGTACTATTACCTGGTTGATTTTGATCAGCAAATATGAACCAATATAATAATAATTAAGATGATAATAGCTCTTATTTTTATTGCAATTTTTAGTTTGCAAAATGCTTTCCTCACACCAACCTCACAAGGTGGGCAGTGAATCATATTTTACTGATAAGGAAACGGAGGCACAAAGCAATGAAGTGACTTGCCACCAGATCAAAGTACAGTAAGCAGCAGAGTGGGAATGACAACCCTTGTGTTCTGATGCCCTTCCACACTATCATGATGCTTCCCTCAAGCAGCACAGTGAGTTATGCTGGATTTCAAACGGTAACATTTTTTAAAAAAATTAATTAAAAAAAAAGTTTTTTCTTTAATTCATTTATTTAAAAAACAAAGTTAATTTTCAAGATTTACAAGGAATAATAAATAACTTTCAAGATTATCAACCTGAAGAGTACTGAGGCAGTTGCCATTTAAAGCTACTATATTGTTGTTGACTATAAAAGCGGTTAAAGTAATTTTTTTAGTCTTTTGTATTATTGAGATTTTACTATACAATGAGAAAATGTGCTTTCTAATTAGTGAAGATAATACTAATTAAAAATCAGTTATTAGTCAACTAGATGAAATAGGACATTTTGTCAAAAAAAAAAAGAGAGAGAGAATTTCTGCTTTGTTTTTTTGTTTCTTTCTTTTTTTCTTTTTTGGCTAGGCAATCAGGGTTAAGTGACTCACCCAAGGTCACACAGCTAGTTGTGTTAAGTGTCCGAGGCTGTATTTGAACTCAGGTCCTCCTGACTCCAAGGCCGAAGCTCCATCCACTGTGCCACCTAGCTGCCCCTTTTGTTTCTTTTTCAAGTGGAGTGTGCCAATGAGGTACGATTTTTGCTGCCACCAACCCATACCAATTCTGATTCATCCCCTAATTAGGTACCCCAAGTATCACCATAAATTCTAACTTTTTGTACTACCTACTTACCACTGTTCCTGTCCCTGAGGTGGTCAACTTCCCGCACAGTATTAATTGAAAGATTGTTTATGACACTGCCAGGAGTGACGTAAGGGTCAGTTTCAGGGTCAATGTTTGGATAACCTTTCCATGGTTCACCAGGGCGAAATTCTATAAAGAAAAATCAGAAAATATTTAAAAGCTTAATCATTATTCCACTGTCTACAATGAAAATAAGAATTTCTACTCATGCAGTTGTGCAAATTGCAAAAATTTCTCAGGATATATTTCTAGAGTCTAATTAATATCTTAAAATAACCAGTGATCCCACACAGGGAATACTGAATTATTTCATTTAGAAAGGGCTGAAGTGCTTTCCCTAAACATTCTATCTAGGACCAGGGAAGAGTGGGAGAACTTCTATTTCTCTCTTTGATTTTCTTTACCTGAAAAACTGAAGGTGGTTTTAAAATGCATTAGATGACATTTCATTCAAATTTGATTTATATACTAAATAGCATACATAGTAGAGGTCTGAGATTATGCTAAATTTTAGGCAGACAGTGAGTGATCAAATATTTTAAAATAGATTAATTTGGTAATATTGCAGTGGTCTCCACTATAGCAGAAAGAGCACTAGATTTGAAGCCAGAGTGCCAGTGACCTTGGACAAGTTACTTTATTTATCTATTTTGTGTCCTCGTTAATAAAATGAGGGTACTGGACTAGAAATCTGTACGGTCTCTTAAATGCTCTAAATCAGTGATTTCTGTCACTGTGGTATGAGGATCCCCCAAGGTCTCTCACACTCCGTATCAGGGAACCTGCAAGGTCAAAACTATTTTCAAAATAATACAAGATATTTTAATTTCTAATGCAATAAATATTGAGAGATATAACCCACATCAAGCAAAAACTCTTTGGAGGAGTGTCTTTAGTAATTTTTAAGAGTATAAATGGGTCTTAAGCCCCAAAAGTTCAGGAACTGCTGCTCTAAATCCTTTAGGGCTACCAAAAAAAACCCAAAAAGCCAAACAAAACCCCAGAACAAAAAACACATTTCTTCATTTATATTTTGAAAAAGCAAAATTTGAAAGCATGTTAAAAAAAGGTTTAGGAAGAATGAGGAGTAGGAAGAGATGAAAGGGTAAGAGATGATGGTTTAGAGAGGATGTCAAAGTTCATGATAAAGGAAGTATCTTTTTTTTTTTTTTTTTGCTTTTTGGGAAATCAATTGGGGTTAAGTGACTTGTCCAAACAACTTGGCACAACATCCTAAGGGATCATACCTATATTAGAAATACATACTACAAATTACCTAGAATCACTGCAAATATTATCAAATTGGTACAATGACATTCATTTATTCACCAAGCATTTATTAAGACTCTACTACGTACTAAGCACCGGCAATAAAAGACAATAAAAGACCAGACATAAAAGAAAAGTTCCTTCCCTCGAAGAATTTCCATTCTATTGGAGGAAAACTAAATGTGTACCTGTAAGTAAATACAGGATTTATACAAAGTAATTTTGAGGGCTGTTTGAGAGGAGGGAACTAACAATAGAGGAATTAAGAAAGGCCTAACTGGGAGGAAGGGGGGGGGCAAGTTGGTGTCCTCTGAGCTGAGGTAAAGTCTATTACAGGCACAGAGGACACCCTGGATAAAGGCCCCGCGCTGGGAGATGGGATGCTGTACAGTAGGAATAGCAAGTGGGTTAGTTTGGTTGAAACATAACAGTGCATGAAGAGGAATAATGTATAATAAACCTGGAGAAGTAAGCTATAACTAAACTGTGAAGGGATTTAAATGCCAATAGGAGTTTGTATTTTATCTTAGAGGCAATAGGAAACTGATGGGGCTCCCTGACCAGGGCTGGCCAGTCAGACCTGGGCTTTAGGGATGTGAATCTGGCAGCTGTGTAGAGGGCAGACGGGAGAGGGAAGAGATTTGAGTCAGGGAGGTCAATTAGTCCAAGCGAGAAGCAAGCTCCAGAACAAGGCTGGTGACTGAGTAGAGAGAAGGGAACAGACGAGAGATGCTGAGAAAGGAGACATAACAGGACTCGGCATGTGATTTGACAGGAAAGAGAGAGAAAATTGTCAAGGATGACTCCAGTGTTGAGCAGCTAAGTGACTGGAATGACAGTGATGCTCTCAATCTAGGTAGAAAAATAATGAGCTTGGCATTAGATATGTTGAGTCTGAGGTGTTAAATGGGCAGCTGAGGATGTGGGATGAGAGGCTGGGACTAGAGATACGTAGATTTTGGAGTCATCTATCCAGAGATGATCATTTATCCCATGGGAGCTGATGAGGTAGGACCTAAAAATGAGAAAGAGACAGATAAGAGTATGCAAGGTAGGGCCCTAGATTCTTCCAACCTTACTGAGTGGATATGGATAATGATCCTGCAAAGGAGAAGAAGAATGGTCAGACAGACAAGCAGGAGTTGAGCTAAGAAAAGTAATGTTAGGAATAAAAAATATCCATGAGGAGAGTATGTTCCAACGCATCAAAGGTTAAAGAGAGGTCAAGAAGGAGAAGAATGAGGAAAGGCCATTAGATTAAGGAACTAAGAGGCTGAGCTGAGCTTTGTAAAGAGCAACAATTCTCTTGGAGAAAGCACTTCCAATTTAGTGGAAGTAAAGTTGTAGGGAGTTGAGAAATGACTTCAAGGTAAGTAAATGAGGCAGCAAACACAGGTGGTCGTTTCCAGTAATTTGGGTTACAAGAGGGAAGTAGGACATAGGACAACAGCTTGAGGGGATGGATAGTCAAATGAAAGTTTTTAAGGGCAGCTAGGTGGCACAGTGGACAGAATTATGGCTTTGGAGTCAGGAGGACCTGAGTTCAAATCCAGCCTCTGACACTTGACACTTACTAGCTCTGTGACCCTGGGCAAGTCACTTAATTCCAACTGCTTCACCAAAAAAAAAAGTTTTTAAGGACGGTGAGAACTGAGTGTATCTGTAGATAGCAGAGAAGGAGCTGAGAGTGAAGATTAGAAAGGAGGGATGTTTGGGGAAGAGTAGGGACTTCATCAGAGACTAGGGCAAAGGAAGAGGGAAGGAAGAAAAGTGGGAGTGGAAAGCTTGAAGACAGAAGAGAGAATCTGGAATAGTTGCTATTGGAAGTGGAGGACAGAGATCAGTGAAGGAAAAGTAAAATGACTACTTTATAGCAATGAGGGCCCAGCTGATATTGTATTAATCTGAAGTGGCGTGGTTGTGTGGCTTCTTCCAATGCCATTTAAGGGTGGGTGACTGGGATTATTCAGGGTTGGGTTCTGGTAAAGTTATGAATGACCAATGACAGGATAAAGAGGCAAGAGCTTTGAGAGTAGAAAACAGCGTGTAGTTGAACTGGTACATAAATGAACTGGTTAACTAGATGGTGAAGACTGGGAAGAGTGAAGCCACTACAGGGATGATAGCCTGGAAGAACAGTGGAGAACGGAGTGGCCAGAAGACACTACATGGACAAAGAAAATAGGTTTAGGAAGAATGAGGAAGAGACAAAAGGATAAGAGATGATGGATTAGAGAGGATGTCAAAGTTCATGATAAAGGAAGTATCTTTTTTTTTTGGGGGGGGAAAGCAATTGGGGTTAAGTGACTTGTCCGGAGTCACACAGCTAGTATGTGTTATATGTTTGAGGCAAGGTTTCAACTCAGGTCCTCCTGACTCCAGGGCCACTACTCAATCCCTTGCACCACCTAACTGCCCCTGGAAGTGTAATTCTTCTGGGTGATCATGATCACAGTCAAGGCAATCGGGTGGCATAGTGAGAAGTGGGCCAGGAGTAAGGAACACCTTAGTTCAAATTCAGCCTCAGACACTTATTAGATGTGCAATCCTGGGCAAGTCACTTAGCCCCTGTTTGTGTCAGTTTCCTCACCTGAAAAAAGTGTGTATAATAAGAGCACCTATACCTCCCAGGGTTGTTGTGAGGATCAAATGAGATAATATTTGTAGAAGAGCTTAGCACAGTGCCTGGCACATGGTAGGCACTTAAGAAATGATTGTTTCCTTCTTTCTTTGAAGGGTGTAACCATTACTGCATAGCACAGGTGGAGTGAAAGTAGAGGTCATAAGAGGTGGAGGTGTTTGAGAGAACACCAACATACACACACACATACATATACAGATATATATCTATATATAAACAGTACACACACACACACACACCCCAACATTCAAATATATATATTTGAAGTCTCCATGTATAAGGGGGAGGAGGGTTAGGTTGGAGATAAAGACTGATAGAGAGGTACTGAACTCCTTGAGAAATCAAGGAGAATGACCTGGGGGTTGGTAAAGAACGGCCACCAGTCGGGATGATAGGGTGATATGCTGAGAGAAAGCAAACTTCAATGGAGAGGTTCCTGGGTGATGGCACGGAAGGGAGGGTCTCAAAGTGGGGATCAAGGATGGCCATGCCTCCTCTTAGTTTAGTGTATTGGGATACATGAGAAAAGGTACATTAAGTACTGAAAAGGATGACTGGAGATGCACAGATGCCAAACTTCTGTGAGTGTCTGAAGACAGAAGGTACATGACAGGAAAACATTTAAGAAGGAAAATTTCATCTGTAATGACTCAAAAGGGCAAAATAGAAGGGACAGAGAGAGCTGGATAGTGACTTCGGAGGGAGATGTGAGAAAGGAGACAGGTAACAGGGGACTGAGAGTGGTCTTCACTTAGTTGGTTATTCTGCGTCACTGGTCTCGGACAGGAAGAATTATTTGCTATAAGTAATAATAAATGACTTTCAAGATTACAAACCTGAAGAGTACTGAGTTACCATTTCTAAGTGTATTTCAATAGTGATGAGGGCATACTCTTCATAATGAAAAAAACAAAAACAAAAAACAAAAAAAACCAAATAGTTCAGTGTTTACCTGGTGGCCAGTTAACACTGCTAGAGCCATTAGGCGATTTGGCACGTGGCCAGCCATCCCCAATTGAACCAGGAGGACTGGCTGGTGAATTACTGCTGTTCATAAATTCATATGGAACAAACGGAGACTCTTCCAGCCTAAAACCACTTGAAATAGCACCTAAAAAAAAAAACAAAGTTTTTTTTCTTCTAAGTGAACTATTATTCAATTTATATCATATATAATTTACAAAATACCCAAGAAAACTTTCTACAAATGTACTTCTTGAACAAAGGTGACAAAATAACTGCACATATATCCCCAAGCCTCACATGGGATACATGTGCAATTTTAACCTACGAAGGCCTAAAAAGTTATTAAAGCTTAAAACTACACTAAAACTCTTGGGACATCCTGAATGCTTAGAAAGGGATATAAAGAATAACCTAATCATAACTATTATTTAACCAAAACTGGAATGTACTGTCTCTTGAGGTTGTTGAGTAATGAAGGTGTTATGTTAGAAGAAATGATGAAAGGGATGAGTTCAGAGAATATAGAATGAAGAAGAACCAGGAGGACATTTTATAAAATAACACCACCACTTAAAAACAAACCACTACGAAAGACTTGCACATGTTGTATGTCTTCAGTTCAATATAAGATCCCTGAAAGGCAGAGTTTTACATTTGACTCTTTTCTATTCTCAGTGCGGTAAGCACAGTGCCCTTACATACAGTAGGTACTTAATAAAGGCTCACTGAACTAGAAATTGTTCTGCAAACATGTTGTGACATTTGAGTTTGGAGGGCTTGGCTCCCTTGGAAGGAAAAATGCCTTTTTTTTTCCCCCCAGCAACATGAAATACTCATAGCTTAATCCTGACTCCAAATTAACTGGTTGAAATGGAAGTCTAGGGATATGGTCAGGAATAGCAAAGCAGAAAACTGAGGCATAGTATGCCTGGTTATGGCTTCAGTCTCCTCTGGTGAGAACTGACTTTCTTTTAGAGTAAACTATGTGATATAAGGAACCAAAAATACTTGCAATAAAGGATGTTTTAAAAGAAACTGAATATATGCCTACTTGAAAGAAATACATCCTCACACCTAAAATTCTGAGACATTCTATTCTTTTCAGGACAAAGAAAATTCTAATAATAAAGCAATTCAAAACTTCTACTTGTTGCAAAGAAAAAGAGGAATTTTGGAACCAAGAGGCAGCTAACGGGATTTTAGGATTAATACCATACCATTGTTATATATATGAGAAAACATTAGGAGGAGCTTATCTGTTGAGGTTATTTTAAGCATGGAAATCAGATTTTGAATTCCCCTTTCCTCCTGGGTGGAAGAAACATGATTGGAGGAGTGGCCCTATTCTATCCTATTCTTCTGCTCTACCTCAAGAACATTCTGAGTACTTTTTCTATGAAAACTCTCTGAAATCAGACTGGTATGAATGAGTAATTTCAGCTAATTTGTCTCTAAAAACCCATTTTGGTTGCTGATAATAGAAGCTGGAAGGCACCATCCTGTGTCACTGAATTGAGGAATTTTGTAATGAACAAGACAATCAACATTTCATTAAAGTTGTTCCAAAGGAATTTTTGTAAATAAACTTTGAAATATAAACCTTATGAACAACCCCTTTGATAAAAGGAAAAAATTCACCCCCTCACAATAAACCAATTATACAAGAGCCACCAGCTTGGGGTTTGGGGAATTATGCTGATAAAATGATTATTAAATTAGTTTAGCAGCTTGCATACTTTTAATAAGTATATTTAGGCTTATGTGTTTAACAAGAAAGCTTGCCTATATGCCAAATTTATCCATATTGCTCTTTAAGTAGCATGAATTATATAGAAATGGTCATTTGTTGATCACAGCAGCATGGCATTAATTTGTGTGACCTTAAGAATTACCCTTTAGCTCACTGTGATTCTAAGTGTTGTGATTTTTATATCTTAGCCTCTGTATATCAAAATCCAAGTTGATGTTGCCTACAGACTTCTGGGACATTCCTTTTCCTTCCTCTACGAATTCAGTACTTGGCCCACAATCTTTCTTTTCTTCCCAACTCATGTCTTCAAACCAGGGGATTTCAGCATAGTTGCTGATATGCAAACACTCTAAACTCCTAGTTCTTCAACTGACTCATTTCCTATAACCTTCTCCTCCATTCCACACACAACCACACACAAAGATGGTCATACTCTTCATCTTGCCATCACCCACAAATGCACCACTTCCATGTTCATGACCTCCGAAATGACCTTATCTAATCACAATCTATTCACTTTCCTCTTCTCTCTCTGCTTCCCAATGCTAAACCCTGCTCTTTGTCTACATGGTGACCTCCAGTACTTCAAATGCTCCGCTGTCTCTTAGGTCATCACCCCTACACTATCTACATTTTCCTCCTTTCCCCATTTTGACCTGTTGGTGAAATCAGTTCAATCCTACACTGTCCTCCTGAGTTCCTTTCCCCCTTATCATATCACTGATTGCACCCTGCCAAGCCTCAGCCTTGGATCATTCCCCAGATCAGCTAATTTTGTTCCTGGGCATGTGGGGCTGAAAGAAGGTGGAGAAAATCACAACCTTGATGATTTGGTCCACTACTAATTTATGTTACATAACGTCAACTGGGTCTTTACTACTGCTAGGAAATCCTTTTATACTTTCCCCCTCTTGACAGCAGCTCTTCCAAACCTTTTCATCCCTCCTCAAACTTACTAGGTTTCCCCTTCCCTCCACCTTCTCAGCTGAGATCCTTGTCTCATATTTTGCTGAAATAACTGAGGCCATTCACTGAATGCCATCCTCCCTCCCTTTTCTCCTCCTTATCTCATATCTCCAAGATTCTTTCTGCTATTATGTCCTCTTTTACCCTTGTCTCACATGATGAGGGGATCCTTCTCCTTCCCAAGGCCAACCCTTCTACATTCACAAGTGATCCTATTCCATCCTCTCTCTCTCTCTCTCTCTTTTATCATGTGACTTGCCCAGGGTCACACAGCTAGTAGGTGTCAAGTGTTTGGTCTGAGGCCGGATCGTCCTCCTGATTCCCTCCAGGGCCGGTGCTCTACCCACTGCACCACCTCACCGCTCCTCTCCATTCTCTCTTCTTCAGCAGACAGGCCCCTTCTTCAATTTCTCCCTGTCTACTGGCTACTCTCTGTTGCCTACACACATACCCGTGGCTCCTCTGTCCTCAAGGAACTCTCACTTTCTCCATTCATCACTGCCAATTACTGTCCCATATCTTATGCCTTTAGGGACTAAATTCCTTGAGAAGGCAATCTACAATGAGTGCCTTGACTTCCTCTCCTCTCACTTTCTTAACTCTCTTCAGTCTGGCTTCCAATCTCACCACTCAACTAAACTGTTCTCTCCAAAGTTACCAATGATTACTTACTGGCCAAATCCAGTGGCCTTTTCTTTTCTTTTTTTTTTTGCTAGACAATGGGGTTAAGTGACTTGTCTAGGGTGACATAGCTAGCGTCAAGTGTCTAAGGCCAGATTTGAACTCAGGTCCTCCTGACTTCAGGGCTGGTGCTCTATCCACTGCGCCACCTAGCTGCCCACCTGCCCCCTCCAGTGGCCTTTTCTTAATCCTCATTCTTCTTTACCTTTCTGCTGCCTTTGACCCACTTCTTGATATTTTCTTTTCTCTAAGTTTGCATGACACTATTTTCTCCTGGTTGTCCCCCTACCTGAATGACCCCTCCTCAATCTCCTTTGATGGATCTTTATCTAGGTCATACCCACTAACTGTGGGTATCCTACAGGGCTCCATCTTGGGCCCTCTCTTCTTCCTCTAAATTATTTCACTTGATCTCATAAGCTCCCATGATTTCAAGTATCACTTCTATACTGATGAATTCTCAAATCTACTTATCCAGCCCTAATCTCCCCACTGACCTCTAGTCTTGCATCTCCATCTACCTATTAGACAGAACTCCTGTCCAATACTGAACTCCCTACTTCCCCCCTCTCCACACACATGTATTCCGTGATCCAGTGATACTGGCCTTCTAGCTGTTTTCTGAGCAAGACACTTCATTTCTTGACTCTGGGCATTTTCAAAGGTTGTCCCTCATAAATGGAATTCTCTTATATCTCATCTTCATTTTCTGGCTTCCTTCAAGCCCTAGCTAAAATTCTACCTTCTACGAGAAGATTTTCTTAGTCCCTCTAAATTCTAGTGTCTTCCCTCTTAATAGTTATTTTCTATTTATCCTACACATAGCTTGTTTGTACATAGTTGTTTGCATGTGGTCTCCCCCATTAGACTGTAAGATCCTTGAGAGCAGACTTTTTTGTGTGGGAGGAGGGAGGAAGGTATTCCCAGTGCTTAGCACAAGGGCTGGCACAACAGGTGCTTGATAAATGTTTACTGACTCACTGAGAGAGGTCAAGAAAACCAAACAGAGCAAGTACTGTGCTGAATTTTAAAAAAATATTCACAGCAAAAAAAAAAATATTCATAGCAATACATTGGGTGGTAGCAAAAACCTGGAAAAAACTGAGAACCCATTTAACTAGGGAAAGACTGAAGAAACTGTGGAATACAAATGTAATAAATATTATTGTGATATAACAAATGATAAGTATGAAGAATTCAGAGAACCAATGGAAAAACTTGAATGAATAATGCAAACTAAATTAAACAGAAAGAGGAAAATAATGTATATGACTGCAGTGATGCAAACGTAAATTCTAAAATAAAGTTGAGCAATGCAATTGTAATGACTATCTTGTCTTTGATGAAGTGACAAAGAACAACACCTGCTTTTCATGAGGGATTATGGAGTAGAATGCCACATGGCACTTGTCAGGGACAGTTAAGTATTTGGTCAATTTAGTTTTGCAATTATCCTCGTTGTAAGGCAAGGCCTAACGGTGTTGGTGGGGTGGTGATATAAATAGAAAATGCAACAATATGAAAGATGGGATAAACTTGAAAGAATCTGGCTTGAAGTAACATCGGAGTAATATTATTATATTTTATACCATGTTTGCTGGAATTTTGATCCAATGATGTGTTCACAGAAATGCTGTCCACTGTAGTCCATTTCCTCAGTCTTGACTGTGGCTCTTTAATACTGTTCATATCCATGTTTACATTCAAGTTTGAGTTCAAGCCTAAGATAATTTTTAAAAAAGATTTAACTTATAAAAGTTAGGTTGACAGGAGAAAAACATGCTATTTTCAAAAAAAGCACATTTTTTCATTAATTTCATGCTTTCAATTGTCCTTAATTTTCCATAAATATGTTGCTTTTCAAACGTTATGGCACAGCCCACATAACCAGACATAAGCAAAGCAGTCAGTGCAAACAGACTGGGCTCTCAATTAAAGTCATGCAAAAATGTCAGAAAAAAGAGCCATGAGGAAGATCAAGTTATCCAACAGAGAGGGAAAGAGAAGAAATAAAAAAAAAAAAGCCCAAATGAACATATATAACTAAATTAATTTCTAGTCCATTGCAAAAGGTTTCTAACCACCTCACTTAACTATGTATTCATCAACAATTTCAAAGCTTTAATTATACTTATTAACACCTAAGAAATCTTTATATCTTCCTATGAATGTTTCTGATTTATGGTAAACCAGAACCTTTTTTTTTTTTTAAAGTTTGCTTGTTTTACAAGGCTAAATTATCAAGATTTTTATGTAACTCTTAAGTAAGACATACTTTTTCACGTACTTTTCATTTGTATTATATATTGCTGTACCCAAAATTAACACTTTCATGTTGCCTACCTTCGTTAGATCATAGAATCATTTAAAAATTAATCTTATTCCTGTTGTACTTAAAAATTTACCAATTTTTTCACCTAGCAATGATATATGTGCCGAAACATAATTAGATTTGATATTTATATGAGAATTTGGTGTTTATATGAATGCTGGGAAGGCTCCTTTGGCCAGGTAGAAGAATTCTTCCACATATATAGACAAAAGATCTTTCCAGAAAAGTAAAATTTCAAGTAGAGCCTTATTACTTCACTGAATTACAAACCTGGAGATGAATGTTAATCCCTCATGGTAGGAAATATCTGTTGCTAATAGTGCAAGCTATGCTACCATATTGTAAACTACTGTCCTTTCAGTCGGTGCTCATCTGCCACTGGAACAGTATTATTTCTTAAAGTCATTTAAGCAAATGAATTATTTGCTCTTGCAGATAACTACGCTGATAACCGATAAGGAAAATGCTACTTTGGGAATGTAGTATCTATGAAGTCTCCAATAATCCCAAGTAGACAGCAGCTCTATTTCAATGTAGTTCAAACTGAGGATTGTCAGAAACCCAACTGCAGAAGGGTCTGTCCACCTCTCCTCCCCCCAGCTACACCATGGAATGTGCTCTCACTAACAAAGTTGGAATAGCAACAAACCCACACCAGAAGTTAAACGTCAAGAGATACAGGGAAAAAGCAAAATGAGGAGCACAAAAGGGAAAGAAAAGGAGCAATATTAAAAGGGACCTAAGAAAGGAGAAAATATACAAGCCTGGACTTTCCACTGGGGAAATTGGATAAAAGCCTAGAGACACAGGAAAAAGGGGGAGAAAAAAGACAGAAAGGCTATTGCATTTGATAATGGCATTCCCTTCCACCCATCCCAATTTTCTCATTTACAGTACCATTTAAAACATCATCTTAACTTACTAGGTAAAAGTCATCAATACACATGAAAATTTCCTAAGTTATTTAATGGTAATATTTAAATACAATAAAAATTATCTTTTCCTACTGCTTCTTCAGTGGGGTACTACTCTCTCTGGCACACTGTTTCCAAGATTCTAATTTCAGCTTCACTCAGTTAATATTACAATTAATCATATAATCTACATCCTACCAAGAAAGAAGTATTAGAAGATAGTTCAACTTGGAATCTGTAATTTTTCTAAAAGCATTTCAAGCAGAAACGAGTAATTTCGCCTATTGAAATTATATGGTTGGAAAATTTCTTTCCTGAATAGTAAAGAGGTGAACCTAGTAAAGCACTAGGGATGTTCTTAATAAAGGAACGACTAAAAAGATCATAGTCAACATTGTTCCTGAGAAAGGGAAAATCCAGGTAATGGTAAGTGAGGAAGTTGTATATCAACCGACTATAATGGGCTAAGCAGGAAAAACTCACCTATAGGGAAGTTGCTGAAAGCATTTATTGGTGATGGCCCTTTTTGCAGTTCAGGTGTAGTGTGGGGCATGACATTCTCAAGGAAAGATTTCATGGCAGGCTGATGGAGCGACTGTGGTTGAGATGGTGGAGTTTGCTGCTTCATCAACAGGTTTGGATCAAGCTGACGAGATTGTTGCATCATCTGCTGCTGCATACTAAGAGGTCGACCCTTACAACAAACAAATAAAAAAGATGAGCAATCTTAGCAGGGAAAAGTCTTTAGGAAGAACTACTTATTAGTGTTTCCTTGCTAACTGCTTATTTCTGGTCAAGGGGACTATATAATCACAGAGTGTACCAGCAATGTGATTTCTAGCAAAGGCTAGGCATTTAATACTTAGTTGTAGAATTACAAAATTCCACTATCATTAAAACATTTGGACCACCTTGTTTTACTGGGATATGACATACCGTTTACTTAGAATGAGGAATGCTTTGATATTCAAGAGAAACTATTCAGGATAATAAATACCTGCTGCTCTTGCTGCTGTCGACCACCAGAAGGCATGCTTCTCTGATTCTGCACCTTTTGCTGCTGGGTCAACAATCGCTTGAGGTAAGAAAAAACATTTCATAATATGTTTAAAAAATATTTTTGAGTGCTTTTAAAATGAACAAATTCTGCAAATGTGCAATGGTTATTATTTCACTTACTTGTAACTGGGAAATCTGAGAAAGCTGGTTTAATTGGGATAGCTGGCTCAACATGGCTACCTGTTGAGGGCCAAAGAGTGGACTCAGGCCACCGCTGTTTGGTGCATACTTCAGTAATGAGACTGGAACCTAAAAAATATCAAACTGGTGAATTAATGGTATTTTCCAATCCTGTTCAGAAATCCTTTCTAATTTTTTTCTCCTATAACTTCACCTGACTTCTCCTTTTCCTCCTGCCCCAGGGGGAAATATTATGTCTTCTTTTTTCCAGGGCTAACATATTCATACATCCTTGTTATCGTCTCATTCTACATCTTATAGGGCACTACTCTTTCAATTCGCTACCTCCTAACCCCTTAAATCTTCAGCCGTTCCTATTCCACTGGTTTCCTTCACTCTATCTAAAAGTACGCTCCAGTCTTCTCATCCTAAAAACAAAACTTCTAAAAACTCACCTCATTCTCCTAATTCTGCAATCACCCTTTTCCTAATTCATTAGAGAGCTTCTTGAGAAAGTGTCTATACTAAAGCTTCCAATTTTTTTTAGTACACATTAGTTCCTCACCCCCCCAGAATTACTTTTGTCTCTATTCCACTAAACCTATCCTTTTGAAGGTCACCAATAATTTCTTACTAGTCAAATAAAATGTTTTTTTTCTGTTTTTCCCTTTCTGCTGCAATTGCTGTAAAATAGCACTTTTCCCCTAAAAATCTTTTCTAATTGGTTTCTCAGATACTGCCTATTGCTGGCTCTCATACAGTGGTATCAAGCTCAAATACGAGACGATCCTTGAGGGCTGCAAATTGACTTTGAAAACCACAAATTAACATTATCTATGTTGTACTGTATTTTCATTTATTTTGTTAAATATTTCGCAATTACATTTCAATCTAGTTTGGCTTTCTTCTAGTCTATCTTTTGAGTTACTTCTTGGCTCTTCCTACTTCCTGACTGTGCATTCTCCAGTGTCCAGTTCTTGACTCTCTTCTTTTCTTTCTCTACGTGGATCTCTTTCAAATACATATGGCCAGGTAATGCTTCTCACCGAGCTGCAGATCTGCACCTCCACCTAAGTGACTTTCTGATACTTCAAACTAAATATGTCCAAAACGGAAGTCATTATTATTCCTCTAAAACTTTTTCTTCCTCTTTTGTTTTCCTCATTTCTGTCAATGGTGCTATCATCCTCTTAGTCACCAGGCAAGATACCCTAGTCTTTCTTAGGTTCTTCCTTCTTCTTTGGAATCCAATTAGATGTTAAGTCCAAGTACATTCTTGTTTCGGCCACATCCTCTCAACTTTTTGAAAAGACTAATGAAACAGTTTTCTAACTGGTCCAAATGCCTCTAACCTTGGACCTATTCTAATCTACCATATACCATTGTTGTAAAAGTAATTTTTTTAAAAGTATCCTAATTACCCTCTGAGGGAAAGACAGAAGGTGGCAAATCAAGTCACCACCATTACTTTGACCAATACTACCTTATTACCTCAGACCTTATAGGAGACAGCCCAGAACCCTGAAAACCCAAGAGGCATGAGAATAGTGGTGTCTCTCAAATCACCAGACCAGTATCCAGCTCAGCTACCACAGCCATTGAGGGGAGAAACAAATCACTGTGGAAAAGGGGTCAACCTTCCTTATCACCACCACCACCAACTGCTGACCAAATGCCACCATAAGGTAAATGGGCACAAGAGCTTTGGCAGTGGGAGCACTGCCATGCATCCTCGCCCCAATGGTCCCACTTACAGCCTAGATTTCAAATCCATCATCTAAAAAAGCAACTCTTGTGAAGAAGAGATTAGTCATCCCCACAACTGCTGACCAATTGCCACTCTCTCACTGGGCAAGCAGGCAAATCAACCTTGCTGAAACATATGCCAAACAAATCAAATCTGCCACCACTAACACTGCTTGACCACCATCTTCCCTCAGACCCTGAAGGAGATACCCAGAAAACAAAGCTCTTTCTACCAAAGTCATTGGTACTTTCAAATGGTTCAACATAAGACACTTTTATTTTATCAGTGGAAACGATGATAAAGAAGAGCCATCACGATGTGCTTTGTCTCTGTACACTAAGGTCACAGGACTACTCCATCTGACTTACCACTGAAAGCCTCCTCAGGTATTCCCTCTCCTCTTAGAACATGAGCTCCTGGAGAGCCAGGTCCGCATAGCTTTCTATTTGTATCCCTAGCATTTAGTCCAGTGCTTTGTATACCACACACAGGTACAAGAGGTTTTATTCCTTCTTTTACTCCGTTGCTGAAAAAGTGACAATTTATTAAATAATATTTGCACCTCTCTGCCTGACATTCAAGATTCTCCATGATCTGGCCTCTTTCTACCCTCCAAGTCTTACTATACATACACACTGTCATCTAGGCAAAATTGACTTTGTTATTCTGTGAATATGCAGTGTAGCTATCTTTGCACACACTGTACCTTTGACTGGTATATTTTTCCAGCGTGGGAATTTGTTTTGTTGGACTATGCATGTTAATGATGAAACCTTTATTTTTGTTGCTGTTGTTCAACCATTGGAAAGGAAAATGACACAGAGTTGGGGGTGGGTGGGTCACAGATCATCAACACACGCATAAATTAATGCATTTTCAAAGATTACTATTCTGTGAATATGCCTTGTACCTTCCTGCCTCTGTCTTTACACATGCCGTTTTGTTTGCAATGCTCTTTCCTGCCGTTGCATCCTTTTCTCTATACTAATCTAACTAGTACAAATACTTCAAGACCTGGTTCCCATGCCTTCTCTTTCAGGAAGTCTTCTCAAGCTTCTCTAACCAAAAATTATCCTTTCTCTGAATTACTGTAACACTCTGTAGGTACCACATTGTCAGATTGTATGGTGTTGAGTCAAAGAAATTGTTTATATTTTTGTCAAAAAACTTTTAGCTTATTTGTAGCTTTTATTTTATCAATTCAATTAAAATTTCTTAAGTGCATTCTACATTTGAGGGCTTTACACCCTACTTCTCCATATTCTTCATGTCTCTCATTACTCTAGATAACTTGACCCTGGATATAACTCAAAGATGTTGCTAGATGCTCCACTAGCAAGGCTGTCTTCTGGTTTAAAGTTCTAAGTAATTAAAATATGTGAAGTAATTAAGATATATGAAGTAAGTTTTAAAAGAAGCACATGTAAAACAAGTGAAGTGAATTTACCTGAGGGGATAGTAATGGAGGAGGCACTTGAGCACGGAGATGAGGCTGAGATGAATTGAGAGGTTGTGCTGGAGGCTGCTGCATGCCCCGGGGTTGTGCTGCTGTGTTACCAACACCAAACATACTGGGATTGCCATTCTGTAAAGAGAAGTCAGAACTCTTTAGTGAGAGAAGACACTATGACACTACTGATTTTAACACAAAAGCTCAATGTAAGTGATCTCAGTGGCTAGGTCATTTCATTGAAAACACCTAAAATATATACAAATAAGCACTCACCTGTCTAACAGAATTCAAGTTTTGCATACCCAGCCCTGCTATGGAGCCAAGGGCTTGGTTAGGTAGTGCACTATTTGAAGGGGGAAGCTTCATGTTTTGATTGGACATAAACTGCATGTTTTGGGACTCGTCTGCTACAATGCCATCCTGATTGGACAGACAGAAAGATGTGCAACAGCAGCCAAGCAAGCAAGTAGGAGGGAGAAATCATTGCCAGGAACAGAAGAGAAGTCACATGAAATTCCAGCATCAACAGGAAACAAGTAGAAAACAGAAGACATTAGATTAGTGTTACTTCTAAGGCAAGCAAAACCAAAAAATTTTATATGGATTAATAGGAAGGCATTATATTTAATTTCTACGATAAGCAAATGCATTAAAAGGGACAATGGAGTACAGACATTTCATGAGAATGGTGTATTTTGGCACCAGACTTACACAGTTCTACATATAATGTTAATGTGAAAATGTGGAAGTCAATTTGTTTATTTTAAAAAAAAAAAAAGCAATTGCTTACCTTATCGAAATAAGGACTGCGATCCATGGAAGACTCTTTGGAAATTTGAGGACGAGAGCCAGGGCCTTTTCCTACTACTCGATTGTAATCGCCAATGTTTAGGCTATGCTTATCAATCTCCATTCGTTTGTCCTGTAACATTCCTAACGGACAAGGAAGATGAGACTATGAAGTTTGATTGCAATTGCTAAAACAGCTGTTAATTTTATATGCTAGCAGAAGGTACCCTTTTCAAATTAAAATAACTTCTATCTTAAGTAGGACATTAGAAAATAAAAGTTTTTTCCCCTTGATCTATGTTCTATGTGAGTCATCTAGGTTGCAAGCTGGAAGGGACTTCAGATATCAGTGGGCTAAATGAACCCTTTCATTTTCAAGAAGAGGAAGCTGAGGCTTTGAAGGTAATGTTATTTGCCCAAGGCTACCCAGAGTGTTAGAGGGAGATTAGAACTTGGGGGCAGGAGGGGGTTCTGACCTCCAGCCTCAGAATTTTCTACTACAACATACTGCCTCACTCACTTTCACTATGATGCCACACATTACAATTACATTTTTGAAAGACCTAAACAGTTTGGTTGGAAAATTCCTGAGTTCTATAATCAAGCCCATATTGACTAATTTTAAAAAGAATTTTACAGAAAAAATTCTTAAGATGAAATGGTAGTTTCTTTAAAACTGTCACTTATTTTTCTACTTCTACTAAAGCCATACTTGAATACTCAAACATATTTTTAAACATTTATAAGACCCCACCAGATGCAGGACATTCTATGAAGTGCTGGGTGAGACAGAGAGAGTGCCTACTTTCATGAAGCTTACAGTCTAAAAGGGAGATAGATAAGGCAGACATGTTTTAACATAGAATAATGCACAAGTGCACAAAGAAGCCACAAAACAAAGCAAGGTGAGAGGTCATTTACTTATCACAGGTATCTAGTTAAGTTTTATGTTTTTAAAGGGCACTTGAATTTGGTTTTAGAGGAATGAGAGGAATTCAAAAGAAGGAGGAGAGGGAAGTATTACAGGAATAGAGAAGAGTAAAAATGAATGTATGGAGGCAGTAAAGTAGAAGGCATATTCTAAGAACAACAGTATCATTTGGTTAAGGCATAGAGTGGAAAGAAAAAAGTAATGTGAGATAAGACTAGAATCATAAAATAGAACCAGATTATGGAGAGAGATGAATATCACTCAAGGAGTATGAATATAATTCATTAGGTAACAGGAAACTAGAATAATTTTTGAGCAGCAATGATATTTCTAGACTCTCCCATTATAGTATGAAGGGGACTATGTGATCTCAGAGACAATGCCAGCAAAATAAGACTTCTGGCATATACTACCACTTCAACTGTCAATGGCTTGTTATCTCAACTACTTTGGTTAGTTTTGTTGCCCTATTTTTAAAAAATCTCTTTTTTATTCATATAATGTATGGATCTGTGGAAGGAAGAGGAATACACAGGGAAATGAATGTGATATAAAAACAAAAGCTATAAAAAGATTTAAAAAAAGAAATCTAAATGCTAGTGACATTTCTTCCTTTAAAACATTAAATCTGAAATTCTTTACACATCAAAAATATTTGTGTACTATTCTGGGGATAAGAAAACAGACAAAATGCCTTTATTTGTTAGAATATTTCTTCACATGCGAACATCTCCTTTTTGCAATATTATAGGTCACTGACAAGAAATCATTACAGGATAGAGTGTGGCTAGGTTACATTCTGAACCAGTTATAGGAATATCCATATTAATGAAATCACATATATAATTACTAAATATTCCATAAGCTTAGACTTTCTGGATATATATAGATGCACTGTCAATATATTTTACTCCCAAAGCCCTTAAGTGCTTCATGACCAAAAACTAGTTTGGGAAATGCTACTGCTGTCAGGAGTGACTCAGAAAAAGAGTTTGAGCATAAAGATGAACAAAGTTGTGCTTTAGGAAGATTAATCTGAAAATGTTTATGATGGATTTGTAGTTATATCACCAACAAATAGCCTAATACTGATACAGAGTTGGCACAAAATAAATGTTTATTGATTGATTGATAGAGTGGAGATTTCAAATCTGAAGAAGCAATTGGGGAAGATGGTAGTGCTGAAGAGAAGAAACAAATTAGGGATAGATGACAAGAAGTTTGATTATGGAATTTAGAATGTGAGGTGCTAGCTGGACATTCAGAAGGTGTTGGAAATGCTGGACTAGAGTTCAAGAGAGAGAATGGAGTTACAAACTATTTGTATATAGGTGATTTGTTAAGCTTGCAAATGAATGATCCAATTATCTTTCATTAAGCATTTACTTTTAAACTAGAATGCTTTGTTTTTTTACTAAGAAATTTTTGGTTAAATTTTGAGGCCTCCTTTTATGAAGAAGATTTGTTTTGTGAAGTTTGGATTCACTCAAAGGGCCACACTTGAGGACCACACGTGGCCTTGAGGCTGCAGGTTCCCCAACCTGATAGCTCTTTTACACGTGTAGAATCCTGACTAGGCATAGCACAAAACAACAACTACTTTCATGTGTCATTACATTATGAAAGGTAGTTAAAAATAAGGTAGTGAGCAACCAAACTCTACTGTAGGATTGATAATCACATGCTGATTTTGTGTTTCTATCTAGCTACATGAGACTCAGACACTCAGTTCATTTTTGGACTTTGCTTTCTACCTCTTATCTCACTTCCAGCGTGATTACTCAGCCTTTACACTCAGCCCATGATTTTGTTTGCCTGGATAGCAATGTGGACTTAGATAATTTAGGCTCTGAATCTTGAACACATCTTTTGATTTAATGCAGAACTCTGACCTCAAATTACCATCTTGATTTATATATCTGAATGTCCTCTCCTTCCATGTTAATTATCCCTTTTCCCATCAAATCCCTCCAATGTGTCCTCTTGATTATAAGCTGTATTATACCATGCTGAATGGTGTGGTCTAGGTTTTACTTCTGAACTCTATCTACTGTGCTCTATCCCACTGTTAGCCTAATATAGTGACTTTCCAACAAAAAAATGTTTAATACAAAAACAAATGACTTTTGGATAATGCAGAAATATAATTCTAATCTTTGTTTAAAGAGAGGTAAAGAAAAGGAAGGAGATTTTCTACTTTAAGGACTAAGAAAAATCTTGCTCTAAAATAATTGCTAGGAAGGAATTATATATCTCACTTTTATCTTAAAACTCTTTTCCAGCAGGGTTTATTTACTTTAGGAATTCATTTAAAGTCAATCTCACCTATAAAGAACCCCCCATAACACAGATGCCAAGAATAATGGTAAAATACTCAAATAGATATTAGATAATGCATCTAGAATTGGTAGGAAGGGAGAAAATAAACATTTATTAAGCATCTACTATGTGCCAGGTACTTTGCTAAGTACTTTATAAATTATTTCATTTGTTATAAAACTATTTAATTTTCTCTTACTCTTACCTCCAGATAGGTCCATCTTATTGCTTGGCAGAGTTTCTTCTGGCGATTCTCTCTGAAACAATAAAAAAGAATTAGTAGATTTCAAGTTCATGATTTAAGTAAAACCTCAACATTTTTCTTTACAGTATTTCATTAACATAAGTCACATAGTCCCATTTTTCCATTCTGTAAAGAAAATAACAGCATCTCTAAGAAAATCAGGAGTTTGATTGATCTATGTGGCTTTTGGCCTGATAGGAAAGTAACGTCAGTCACCATGAAAACTCCATAAGACTGGAAGAACACATTCACTCAATCATCAAGCACTATGCTAGAGATTCAAGTTAGTTTCAAAATTAGATAATATTTTACTTATCACCATTTAACAGGTTGTTGTTGTTAGAAATTCATACATACCGAAAAACTTAAATTTGAGAACTGCTTAACGAATGGATTTATCCAGGCTTCATCTTGTTTATTTCCGCCTTTCATTGTTCCCTTTTGGAAAGAAAAATCAGAATAATGAATGAAAAAATATTAAAGTATGTAAATATATATAACCATGGTACTAAGTTCCAGGGATACAAATAGAAAAAAGGAAGACAGTTCTTTTTCTCAAGGAGCTCACCTTCTAGTGATTCTATTATTTAAGGAAAGCATGGATAAATTAATTTTCAAGATACTTTCCAAACCTAATTTTAATAATATCAAACATTTATATACATAGCACATCACAGTCTACAAAGTACTCTAAATACATTCTCTTACTTACACAACAATTCCATAAGATAGACACTATAGGTATTATTATTCCCTTCTTAAACATATGCAAAAAGACTCATATGTAAGTTTAGGTACCTTGTTCATAGTGGTTGCAGCGTCAGAGGCAGAATTTGAACTCAGTTCTTAATTCCAAGTCGAGTACTTTATTTGCTACATATAAATATTAAACTACCTCTCTGAACCCTTATTTTAGGCAATATATTAATCTTTCTGCTCTCTCCAAAACTTTTTAGCAGAATAGCATGTAAAAAACAAGAAAAAATTTCAACAGCTATGATACTGGTAGTCTCCTCCTGGTGTAAGAGTGGCATGGTGATTGATAAATCTTATAGGGAAAGATCTTCCATGTTCTCTGTAGGACTCTAAACATTGGGCTATGAGGTAAGCCAGAGTGTGGTTATCTATGTTGACCTGAGAATTGAGCCAGTTCTCAGGAGATGTGCTCTGGGAACCTGGCCAGTTCATCAGAACATATCAAGTTAATTAATATTCTAAGATGTTTTGCTTGCTCCAGGAACTTGGCCAGTTCCTGGACCAAGTGAAAACATCTACTAGAATCACGGACACCTCTGGCACGAGGCCTTCTTTGTTCGAGGCCCTATTTAAATCCCAATTGGGAAAGCCATCTTTGGATTCTCACCCATGGAGAGGATGTTCTGCCTGGGACTTTCCCAATCCCTGAAAGCTATACCGCGGGAAACCCCAGCTTGGACTTCAGGTGTTGGTGCTTCCCCGAAGCACCATATTATTGCTTTCCTTTGCATTATTAGCGGAACTATAGTCATGTTGCTAATTGTATGTTGTTGTAAATCTACCTTTTCTATACCTATATTATAATCTTAATTAAGGCTACCTTCACTTCTCTCTCTAGGAGTGTCTTATTGTAGGAGCAAATCCAAACCATTTTTCTTTCTTGATCACACACAAAGTAATAAAATGTTTTACATACATAATCAAATTTCATCTTTATAAGTCTGTAAATTAAGCAGTACAAGTATCCTTATTTTACTAATGAGGTAACTGAAGCTGAGTTATGTGCTTAAAGTTACATGGTTAATAAGGGTAGAGCTAGGACTCTTATTCAGCTCTTCTATCTCTAAAATCAGTGCTCTTCCCCCTATATCATGTTGCCTCCAGAGATTTAACTTTAATGTGCTTCCCAGATGGGAAACAGCAGTCTGAAGTGGAGTACAGATGAGTCAACTGCCTAGATTTCAAGTTTGTTTGTTTTTTTTTAAATCCTTAATAATGGAATACAGATTGTTTGGGTAAATACTTCTGGACTTGAAATTGTATGACCCTGTCCCCCTTGAAATATTCACCTTTGAGGACATTTTCTTTATATATGGTGGCCAGTTTAAAGATGGGTTAACTTCTTGGGATGAATTACTATTCCACATTCCAATTTCTACATCTTCTTCCTCCTCCCAGGCGGTGGGTCGATTTCCAGTCAAAGGCATATCATCCCCACACCAACCATCTTGCATAGATTTAGGCCCTACTTGTAAATATGATTTAGACAGAACAGAAGACAGTTTTCAATGACAAACAATTTTACAATCATGCCTAATGCTTTCAAGGAGAAAAGCATACTTAAACTGTGATGTAAATTCTATATGTATTTATGCCCAAATTTATATAGTTGGAATCTATCATTTTCTACTATGTTAAAAGTCTGACAAAAATAAACTTATTTTTTTTTAAAAATAAGGATTTCTTTGATGCTTCTCTATTTTAGAGGTTACAGAAAAACTGAGCATGGTTATGATTATGCATAATAAAGCAGAGTATAAAGGAGATAAAAATATAACTGAAAAGATTTCTTTAAAAAAAATATTTTAACTTCAGTGGTAGTGTCCACAGATGGTTTTTGCATTTATTTGGCTAAATCCTTGATCTGTGAGGTTACTGGTATGGACACTACTTCCTTCCACAATATGACAGAGAGTCTGGGACAGTAAATGTGGTTTAAAAAAATTTCATTATTTTGGTGATAAGCCTTTCTTGATTTTAGCCAGGCTGGTCCTTGTACAACCGACATATAATGGAATCGTCTACCCTGAAAGCAGTTCTTGCTTAGACAAATCTATAAGGGTAGTGCTATAGTATCATAAACTGTGGGAAGCCAGGATTACCCCCATGTCACAATGAAGTTAGAGTAAGATCTTCCGTGGACATTATTTCTGTACCTAAGCCAGACAACTATGGTATTGTTTTCAATGGATACAACCAGAAAGATGCCTTAATAAATTGGATCTTATATGTATACCTAGGCTAGAAAACCATGAGATTCTTTTATAAATGGAAATCTGGCCCCACCTCTGGAGTAGGCCTGAACTTTTAGAATTCTCCAATAACCAACATTTTCCAGGTACTCCCCTGAAATCCAGTTTGGTCTAGAAATATGCCTCAAAGTCTGTGCCATAAAGAGTATTAGGCTCTGAATATGAGTTGCAGAAAAATTCATTCTATGGACACTGGACTTTACTTTAATAAGTCAATTGCTATTAGTAATGTAATGTAGATGTGACAAGTATCATGCAAATTATTAATTGTAAAAATTTTAAGAAATTATTAACTATGAAGTTAAAGATAGGTATAATTATGAACTAGGCTTTAATTCAAATGTCTAACCATGCCACAAAATTTTTTTTTAAGGCAATTGGGGTTAAGTGACTTGCCCAGGGTCACACATCTGGTATCAAGTGTTAGGTCAGAGGCCGGATTTGACCTCAGGTCCTCCTGACTTCAGGGCCGGTGCTCTATCCACTGTGCCGTCTAGCTGCCCTCATGCCACAAATTTTAAAAGCCTTTAGTTATCACAAACATTATATTATCAGGAAGTTAGATTTCAAAGAAACATGGTCTATTTTGGAAATTTTTCAAAGTCTTTTTAGATTAATTGCTTTGAGTGCTATACCACAGATGATACGAAGCAACCTAAAACATACCAGGTTTGCTCGAAGTCTGTGGACCAACAGAAGTGGTACCCCATGTGGAGGAGCTAGATGAAGCAGTAATGGGTTCCCCCCAGTTAGTACCAGTGTCCATGGGTTTACCCCATGCTGAAGTTCCATTATCTACGGTTGTGGCTGGAGTAGAAGGCTCTCCCCAGGGTTCTCCCCAACCTTTAAAAATTAAGAAAAGTCATTAGTTTCTTAGAAAAATTCAACAAAACAGATACTCTGTAAAATATTATTAGCATATATAAGCTGCTATTTATTCTTCCCTTTATATGCAATGGCATAAACTAACATACTGAATTAACAAACAGGAAAAAACCTTCATTTTTTGGATGCTAGTTCAAGTTGTAATATGCAGAAACTTTAAAGAAAAAGTAAAGAGCTATATTTAAATGACTTGTAAAAATTGAATCTAGATCGCTCTCTTGGAGTGGAGAGGGAGGAATACAAAGGAAAATTTAGACAAAGTAATAACAAGAAGTATCAATAAAATCCATCAGAAATGGAATTTTTGGTACTAGGCAACTAAAAGTTCATTTCTTTAAAGCATGGTAGAGTCAAATATTTCATGCATTATAAAAACAAATATAATTATTACAGTTTTTAAAATCCCAAAACAATGTTGTTTATTCTAAAGGTAAATTTAGTTTGTCTTACCACCTAGCTTGCCCTTATATATTTTTTAAAGACTTTTTATTTTATTTTTTCTTTTTAGGCAATCGGGTTTCAGTGACTTGCCCAGGTCACAGAGCTATTAAGAGTTTAAGGCCAGATTTAAACTCAGGTCCTTCTGATTCCAGGGTTTCTCTTTGGAGAAAACAAAGGAGTTATACTACAGGTGCTTTTATATAGTGTCCAAAGGCAACAAGAAATGGCTTTCTGTGGAATGCATTGTCTTCTCAGACGGCAATGCTCCTATTAAGCATTTATAAGAAGTCAACCATGAAAATAACAAACTTATGCATCAATACCTGGTGTGAAGATGAGGAAATAAGACAAATTTGATAAGGAATTCAATTTATCTCCAAAATAAAGTAAAATCATAAAAATTAAACTAATTTTATTTGAACAGACAAGAAATGACATGGTTATTTATGTAAGAATCATTTCTGAATCAGCCATCAATGCAGTCAGATCACAGACTAGTGGGGGTCCTTCAGATGCTTCTGTTTATGGATTATATTTGGCTAGTTGCAATAAGCCTTAGAGCATTCCAGAGCCTCCAAAATTAAGATTTATAATCAATCAAGAGTTTGGACTAACTAATTACACAGGAAAAAACTAAGTTGATAAAATGCCTATTTTCCAGATTACCAATGATCTCAATTGCCAAATAGCCTTTTCTCAATCTTTATCCTTTTCGACTTCTCTGCATTCCTTGACACTATCATTCTCTTCCGGATACCTGATACATATGCAGTGGGACTGTCAACCCACAGATCAGGTCTATTAGTACATATCTTGGATAGATATTGAGGATGGGCAATGAGCTAACTTTAGAACTGAACAGAAGAATGAGAGTGGGCTAGACCGATTTTTAGAAATTTAAAAACATTACACTCTATAAAACCAAAACTTACCAGAACCACTACTGCTCTCCTTGTTTGACATGGCACTTGAAGATGGTAGCGGCTGATGTACCTGTGCTTGCTGGTCTGAACGGCTGCCACCATTTGGGACATTTTTATTCCACATATTCACATTTTTGTAGTTATATTTGCTTGGATCTCCCCAAGCAGAAGTTCCATCATCAATTTCCATTTTGCGGCGTATGGATTCTGGGGATGGCTCCTCCCATCCAGTAGGTTCTTCTTCTTTTGTGGAAGCCGGTATTGGTCCACCAAGCCAACCTGTACCAGGTGGCTTATTTGTGGAAGGTGGACCTCCCCAAGATCCACCAATATCTTGTTTGTTCCAGTCTGGGGAGTTGATTGGCTTTGAAGAATCCCCCCAACCTGAAGGTTGATTAGATTTTGGAGGTTCTCCCCATCCCTGGGACTGACTAGATTTTGCAGATTCATCCCAGCTAGATGAATTATTTGGATTCATATTATTATTTCCCCAGGTAAAAGAATTTGATTTACCAGGTTCATTCCAACCGGATACTGACCTGTCACTGTCACTACCTCCCGAGCTAGATTTCTTAGTCTCACCCCAATGGTTGCTTCTTGATGTTTCTCCCCAGTTGTCATTGGCAGAAACTGACCACCCTTGGTTTGATTTTTGTCCATCTCCCCACCCTTGTTTAATTTTTTGTGCATCATTCCATGTAGATTTCTCCTCTTTGCCATTTCCCCACAATTGATTGCTCTTGACCATAACTGTAGCAGCAGAATCATCTTCCCATCCCCCTTGGCTGCTTGAGCCTTTAGAATCTCCCCACCTTGTAGCAGGTTTTGGATCTCCCCATCCAGATACAGATGAGGTATCATTACTATTATTCTTATCAACACAACCCCCCGAGTTAGAAGTTTGTGTCAAAGAGCGTCCCCAGGCCTCTGTCCCATTGTCAGTCTTTCTTTCACCTCTAGGTGATGTTTCAGTATCCCAGGCAGTATTTTGTTTGATTGGAGTCTCTCCCCAACCCTTGTTGGAGAGGACACGTGGATCTAAGTCAGTTCTGTTTACTATGCTTTGGAGTAATGCATGCTGGTCAACTTTTCTTCTCTCTCTACTCTGCCCTTCCCCAACCACTCTTTCCTCACGGCATCCAGTGCTTTCTGTACTACCTTCACTTTCGCCAGTACCTGTTGTTTTGGCCCAAACGGTGTTCTGCTCATTTATCTGAGATGTAGCAGAACTCTGATCATCTTCCTCAGTAGGTTTCCATCCATTTGTAAACTTCCTACTATTTCCATTCATACTTTCATTGGAATGCTGATTGCTAGGCAGTTTATTCCATTCCCCATTGGATACATTAGTGCCAGTGTTTTGTGCAGGGCTTCCCCATCCTCTTCGACTTCCTCCAGAATTCACACCATTTCCACTTCCCCATGATACATTCTGGGAATTCACCATCTCAGACTCCCATAAACTTCCTCCTTTATTCCCATTCAATTGAAAGTTAGTGCCAACAGACCCATTTATGCCAGACTGCATTAGAGTTGCATTCACAGTGTCACCATTTGCTTGGTCATTAGGGCCTGAACATTTCTCTCCAGAATAATTAGAACCATAGGCACCCCATGTAGTACCATAAGAGCCGCCATTTTTGGACTCACCATTGCTAAGATGAGAAATGGAAGTGCCATTTGTAACCGAAGAGGCCTGTATCTGAGAATGATTCCTTGTGCTCACACGCCAGGCCCCATGCCCTGTATTATTAGGCAGTTCATCCATCTGCACTGAACCAACAGCGTTTGGTAAACTAGAGGTCATAAAGTTAGTAGTGTTATTTGGTCCATTCATTTCAGTGTTAAGGTTCTGAGGTTGTCCACTGAATGAAACCTTCCTTGTACCATTTACTTCAGACTCACAATTTTCCTGAAGATTTCCCCAGGAATCATGGGTGGAACCACCCATTTTAGAGTTAATACTCTGATTGTTAGGCATCTGGCCTATGGTACTGCACTGAATATTTGTGCCAGAATTACCACTCCCTACAGGCCCTTTAAGGGCATGTCCATTGTTCTCTAATACAGGCCAGGCACCATGGTTGCTATTTGAATTCAAAGTGCTTGGATTTAACCCTCCATTTGATGAAGAACTTACGGTGCCCCAAGCATTCATTCTATTGTTGCTACTTTCAGATTTGCTGTCAGGAGCATCCACAGAAACTTGACATGTGCTTATTATGGTTCCATGAGATAGACTCCATGGTCCATTATTACCTCCATTGCCCACATTATTGCTGTTGCTACCCACCACAAATTTGTTTTGAGAACTGTGTCCAATACCGTTCCGAATTCCATCATTTTCACCACTTGGACTCCCTGAAGCCATTATCAAAAGGTTCTTCTCTGATCCAGAGCTGGAGGCAGAGTCAGTGTCCATACATTCTGAAGTCAACTCTGGGTCACTGTCAGTGATAGAAGGCCATACTTCTTTGTCAGAGCCTTCTACAATAACTTTGTCCCAGTTTGTGCTGGAGTCACTATTAGAAGACACTGGTCCCCAGTGAGAATTTTCATAATGAGATCCTAGATTACTATGGTTCAAATCTAGAAGAAAGGAAAAGCATACATTTATGAAATATTTGGAGTTTTAAAAGACACCAAAGGCAACTTATTCTACTTAAACTTAGGTGCTCTGTTCTAATAGGCAAATGAGTAGTACCTGGTAATATGTTGCCACCTTGCAGCAATTTGAGATCTTGGTAGAAGATAAAACCAACCACCTTTCATTCTCTTCCTTTTTGTTAAGACTGGCTATGCAGTTGGACGGTAATTTGGTTCTACACACCTGGAATCTTATTGCCACACATCTCCTGTTAATATCATCTTATTCATAAATGCTATTTTTCTTTCATGAGGATTGATTTCTTCCAGTAGTGACTCTAGAAGCCCTAATAAAGACAACTTGCTCCCTCTGAAGGAGGACTTTAAGCAAAAGTTAAATGACAACATGTTAGGTTAGCTTTTAAAAGGGCTTTTCTTATTTTAGATATAGGCTAAACTAGATACTAGATCATCCCTTCAAAATAAGACTCTAAAAAATCACTTTATGCTGGAAAAATTGCAACCTCAGTTTTCCCATCTGTAAAACAGGGATAACAAAGTCTATAATACACACTACCTAAAAAGTTGTTATAAGTTCAAAAGAGACAATAACATAAATGTAAAGTGCTTTTAACACTTTAAGAAACTACATAAATGCCAGCTATTATTTTTAAGTACTTGGAGTGCACGTTATATCACCCCTACTAAGAGCCTAAAGCAGCAGCTTGGTGTTGTGGAAAGGCACTGGTCTTAAAGATTAGGAGAGACTTAGGTTCAAATACTGCTTATGATATTTATTAACTGTGACTCTGGACAAGCCAATGGACCTCTGAGACTCAACTTGCTCATATGTAAACTGGGGATAATATTTATGCTACTTATATCATGTGGTTGTTATAATGAAAAGTCACTTGCAAAACTTAAAGCTCTAGAGAAATGAGATTCTATTAGCATCATATACCAGTAACTATATTTTGATTTGGTATTAAATGAATAATTTACTAGTATTTAATAAAATACACAAGTGCTCACTGATGAATCATCAGAATCAGTAACACTCTTTCAAACTAGTCTTCCTCTTGCTAAGGTTTCCCTTGATTGTGGCATCTTAAGATTGTGATCCCAGATTAATCCTTCAAAAACAATCTAGACAAATCACGGTCCTGCTTAAGAACCTACAATGGACTTATTGCCTATTACATAAAGTCCAGATTCCTTTACCAAGTTTTTAACCTTCCATAACGTGGCTCCATTTTACTGATTTAACATCATCTGTAACCCTAAACTGACCCACTACTCCAGGTTAGTAGGTCTCTTTATTCTTTCAAAAATCAAAACTTGCCATAGCTTTCATGCCTTTCTTATGTTTTCTCCTCCAGTAAGGCATCCCATTCCTAATTCAGTACTAGGAACACAGTAGATCAAAAACAGCTGTTGGTTGCTTGATTCATAGGACCATGGTTTGAATTTAGAAGGGTATAGAGTGGTTTTATGGGGGAGGAAATTATTCTTTTAAATGGAGAATCTGTAGAAGTTGAGAACCAGTTTTGGGGAATGTATAGTTAAATAAATCATGAGACACTGTGGCTGTCAGTTTCAGACATTCACATCAAAATTCCTTACTCCCTAGAACAGAATATCTGGTAGTCAAATTAGTTGACCTTGTCAAAACCAAGCTGTATGAAGGTACTCAGACAATTTAGAACACAACATCTAATCAAGGAAAGCTTAAGGAACAACCCCAAATATTGGGCTGGCCAGAATAGAGCCAAGAAAAATCATGGGAGGCTCCTGGGGACTCTCCATCTTTAGTTGCCTCTTTACTCCAATTCCTCTACATCACAAATGGGTAGACAATCTTATATAGAAAAGAAAGCATTTCCTAAGATAATCACTTCTTCTTGGCTAGGTAGTGACAAGAAGATTTTAAGAGGGGCAGAGAACAGCACGTTCTTCTTAAAAACAGATTCAGTTTCTAACAAAGCAGTCCTCCATTTCCATTAAGCTTGGAGCTTCCAAAATTGCAGTTCTTACTAGTATTTAAATGAGAATTCAGGAATACATGGGCCTAAATGGTAAGTTGTTAAGTATCTCTTGCCTTGAGGAAGAATTTCTCTCTGAATAACTACTCTCTTTTATCCTAAAGTGGAATTTCTACTTGGTTGCCCTTAGAAGAGGAAAAAAGAAATTCAATATAACTTTATCTTATGGTATTCTGATATCATGAACATGCTATATTCCATGAACGTTATAAATATTGGAAGATAAGTACAGTACCATATAATTTTAATTTTATTTAAGGTCTTTCGATCACAAATCTAACAAGTCCTAGCTGGCAGCAATCTTAATTATCTGTTTTATTATACATCTAAACAGAGACAGAGAAAATGGGGTTAAATAATTAACACAAAATTCATACAATGATTAAACAAGTAAAAATATAACCTGCTATTAATGATGATAAAATAATCATATAATGTTGAACTATAACAAAGCTTAAAGTTTTGACCACACATGAGTGAAATACGCTTTTATGAATCTTAAAACAGAAAACGCTGGTTGCATCACAGGTATATGTCTAGAACTATTATTCCTGGTAGTGCTTTAAGATGAATAATCTTCATAATAATACCAGAAAGTTTCCATATTCATTTTTGCAATTTGTGATTTCAATTAACAACCTTGTAAACTACACAGTGTTAATCAAGCTGCCAACAAAACATAAGAAGTCTATAACCACTAATTTCTCTTAAAAAAACAAACAAACAAAAAAAACCCAAAACCAACAACAAAAACAAACAAACCACTTATGCTTCATTGATGTATGTGGTATAAAAGATAAACCTGGCCTCAAAGCCGGGAAAAATTGGACACAAGTCCTACCTCTGACAGTAGTTGACAGTATTACCTTAAGTGTTCAGTGTTCTAGGGGACTCTAAGATAGTAATAAGTTGCAGAGAAGGCGCTGCTGTGCATTAGTAGATGCTTGACTGAGAATTCCTCAGATCAATGGAAGATTACATGTTAAATTTCTACTCTGATCAATTTCTTTTGAAAAGAAAATCATCTTCCTCCTTAACCATTAGATCAAAATTTTGCTTGTGATCAAGTACCAATTACACAAAAACAAGGTCCCAACTATGTGTCCTACTAGTGCCTCACTTATCTTTGATTATCTGTGCTCAGTGATCTTTGTCAGTTTTTCATTTCCTCATAGCTGGACGACCTATTGAGTTATCTTTTCATTTACAATGTTATAGTCATTTTGCTTACTGTTCTACTGGTTCTCTTTATTTCACCGAATCAGATCTTATAAAAGCTTCCAATGGTTCTGTGAATATTCTCATATTCATCATTTCTCACTTATACATTCATATACCATTAACTCCCCCCCCCAGTTTTTCCTCAAAATGTGTAACATTTTATTTCCAACTCTTATTTCCATTTCATCACAAAGATGCTATGAATATTTTGGCAAACATCTCCCTCCCCTCACTTTTTTTTTTAAAGCGTATAAGCCCTTTCACAGAAGGGTCAAAAGGTCTAGACAGTTAAGTCACTTTTGTTGCATTCAAATTGATTTCAGGATGATCTGACAAATTCACAGATCCACTGCAGTATATTAGAATGCCTATCTTCTAATTTCCTTTCATATGACTATTCTCCCTTTTTGACATCTTTGCCAATCTCCATCATGTGAAATGCAACTCAAGAGTTATTTTAATTTATATTCTTTTTTCTGTTAGTAATATGGGATGTTTTCATTTGTAGTACCCAATTCTTCCTTTGAAAATTCTTCATATCCTTTGACCTCTGATGTTTTGAGGGAATGGGTCTTAGTGTTATGAATTCTGTAAACATTTTAAATGGAATTTATTGTTATACTTTCTCAACATATAGATATTTGTCTATGGATTTTATATCCTATTACCTTACTGAAGTTATGAATCACCTGGATTAGTTTCTTTTCTTATTTTTCTGAGGTTTTCAACTATAGTATCACGGAATCTGCTAATGGGGATAGCTTTTAAAATCTACTTTGGCAAAGTTTATACCTTTAATTTTGGTTGCTTATTTTATTGCCAGTATTTCTAGAACTGTCAAATAATAGTGGGGAGAGGAGACACATTTACTTTGGCATTGTTTGTATTGCAAACAATAAAACTTCTGGGCTTTAATGTATGCTTCTCATAATATTAAAGAGCTCTTCCATGCATATGCATTTTAGGATTTTTTAAACACAAATAACCACTGTATTTTGCAAAGAAGCATTCTGGGGGTATTTATTAAAGTAATAATGTGGGTTTTGTTTCTAATTTTGAGAGGGGCTGGACCTACGGTTTAATTGGTAAAGGAAAACCTTGATGAAGAAACTTCCCTTACTTAGTTTTATATGGTATTTCTAGGGTCCTCTAAGTAAACCTTCATATCCTCTGCCAGTAACAATAACTAAGTCCTCATTGCAGCAATGCAATCCTTTTACTCCCTGAAATCATTTGTCTACTTTACTGACCACAGTGGCTTTTCCAAACCTAATCTCTCCTTAAATCTTCCACAGTACCTTCCCTCCCCATCAAACTGAGCTAAAGACCTTGGTTTAAACTTTACTGAAAAAACTGAAGTCATTCTCTCAGAGTTACTTCTTCTCCCTTTCCCAACTCATACTCTTCTAACATTACTTTCTACTATTCACTCCTACACTCTACTCTCTGATAAAGAGGTGCCCCCCCCCAAAAGAGGTGGCCCTTCTCCTTGTCAAGATCAATCCCTCTACATCTCTACCCCTTTTCTTTAGATTACCTGCCACTACCATGCCCAATATGTCTCTAATTCTCATTCTCTATTCTGTCTCTACATCTTCATTCAGTATGCTTCCCTACTTTTCATATACATGTTTATCTCTCCTCCCTCCTTAAAAAAACCATCATTAGATCCTGGTAGTTTTCAACATTTACTTTTACAAGATTTTGGGTTCCAAATTTTATTCTCCCTCCCTCCCTACCCCCCTACCGAGGATGGCAAGCAATCTGATATAGGCTATATATGTACAATCATACTAAACATATTTCCACATTAGCCATGTTGTGAAAGAAGAATCAGAACAAAAGGAAAAAACCAGGAGAAAGGAAAAAAAAGAAAAAAAAACAGTATGCTTCAATCTGCATTCAGACTCCATAGTTCTTTCGCTGGATGTGGATAGCATTTTCCACCATGAGTCTCTGGAATCGTTTTAGATCACTGTATTACTGGGTCATCACATAACATTGCTGTTACTGTGCACAAAGATCCCGGTATTCTTACTAGCTATTTTCTCATTTTTTTTTTTCCCTATTCTCAACTGAACTTCTTGAGAATGGCAGCTACAGGTGCTTCCAAATCTTTTCCTCTTACTATCTTCTAACCCCTATGCAATTTGGTTTTTAACGTCATCATTCAACTGAAACTGCATTCTCCAAGTTAATAATGATGTCTTAATTGCCAATCTAATGACCTTTACTTAGTTTCTGTCCTTCTTTGACCCTCCTGGAGTACGACACAGTTGACCACTGTCTCCTAAAAACTCTCTTCTCTGGTTATTTGTGACACTACTTTCTCTTTAGTTCTCCTACCTATAGGAGACAGTTTGGTACAGTGTTCAAGAAAGTTGGCTTCAGTCAGAATATCTAGGTTCAAAATCCTGCCTAAGATAACTTATTACTTTTGTGAACTTGGAAAGCAAATCCCTTAACTTTCCTGAGCCTCAGTTTCCTCATCTATAATAACGAGGGGGTTGAAATAGGTTGATCTGAGGTTCCTTCCACCTATAGATCCATGATACACCACCCCCCACCCCAGTGATTCTGAACGTCTTATTTTCTATACTCATTCCCTAATAACTTATTCCTTTCTCCCTCAACCCAACACCTTTCTTCTACCCAATGCCCCATGATAAAGCTACCTATCCCTTCCACTGTGCTCTTTGGAATACTTGCTCCATTGGTAACAAATCTGCTTTCATCTTAAATCTTTCCCCTTCCTACTTTCCATCTTCTGGATCTTATTGAGACCTGGCTCCCTCCTGATGACAGTCTCCCTGACTACCCTCTAAAGCACTGGTTGTACATTCATTCATTTTCCCCAACTCACTGGTGGTGGAATATTCCTTTCTCCTTAACGCCACATTCAAACTCAACCTGCATCATAATTACTCAGTAACCTGTCCTCTGAGATTCACTCAATCATATCTACAACCAAATCAAAATTCTGGAGGCTGGTGTCTACCAACCTCTAGGACATTCCCTTCATACTAGGCTTCAACATACATATTGATACTCCCTCAAATACCCTAACCTGTCAGTTCTTCAACTTACTCATTTGTCATGACCTACTTTTTCACTCTACCTCAGTTCTAGAGATAACATAGCCATCACTCACTTCCATGTTCACAAACTCTGAAATCTCCTTAGTTCATCACAATCTGCTGTCATTCCACCTCTCCCTCTGCTCTGTTCTTTGTCTTCACCATAACTCCAATATCTGAACCCCTAAATTCTTTCCAGGACATCATCCCTGCACTGGAGACACCAGTTAAACTACATCATCTTCTTCTCTTGAGTCCCCTGCCCCTCTATCCTATGGCTGATCTTCCCCTGTCAAGTCTCTGACTTCAATTACTCCCACCATCCATTGCATTCCCTTCTACTCACACAATACTGAATGAAGTTAAGAATATTATGAATCTGTGCTGACAGGATCCACCACAAATTTAGGCTACATAATTTAAACTGGGCCCTCACTACTGTAAGGCAATTTCTTTATACCCCCTTAATCAACTCACTATCTCATTAACCACAGAGGCTTTTTCAAATCCTTTAAAGCCTCTTCAAACTTTTCAAAGAATCTTCCCTGATATTTCACTGGCAAAAAAAAAAAAAAAAAAAGAGGCCATTCCCTGAGAGCTCCCTCTTTTCTCCCTCTCTTTATCTTACATCACTCAGATGCCTTCTGCCACTATCTCCTCCTTCATTCCTGTCTCACATGATGAACAGGCCCTCCTCCCTGCCAAGGCAAATCCTTCTGCACGCAAAAGTATTCCCATTCCATTCTTTCTTCTTCAGAAGATTGTTCCTTTTATCATCCCCACTCTTTCAACAATCCTCAATCTTTTTTTGTCTACTGGCTGCTTCTCTATTACCTACCAACATGCTCATGTCTCGCCCATTTTCAAACTCAAAAACCTTCACTTGAGGGGCAGCTAGGTGATGCAGTGGATAGAGCACCGGCCCTGAAGTCAGGAGGACCTGAGTTCAAATCTGGCCTCAGACCAAACACTTGACACTTACTAGCTGTGTGACCCTGGGCAAGTCACTTAACCCCGATTGCCTAAAAAACAAAAACAAAACCAAAAACAAAACCCTTCACTTGATTAATCCATCCCCACTAGCTATCATCCTAACTCCTTCCTTCCATTTCATGGTGAACTCCTTGAAAAGGTCATTTAAAACTGATGCCTCCACTTCTTTTCCTCTTACTCTCTTCTTAATTCTCTGCAGTCTGACTTCCAACCTCATCATTCAACTGAACCTGCCCTCTCCAAAGTTACCAATGTTCTCTTAATTGCCAAATCAAATGATATCTTCTCAATCCCCATACTTCTCCACCTCTCTGAAGCCTCTGATAGCGTCAATCACTCTCTTCTCCTTATAATTCTGTTCTCTAGGTTTTTGTGACAACGCTCTTTTCTGGCTCTCCTCTTACCTGTTGGACTACTCCTTCTCAGTCTTCTGTGATGGTTCTTCATCCACATCATGCCTACTAAACACAGGTATCCTACAGGGCTCTGTCCTGGGTCCTCCTTTTTTCTCTCTCTACACTATTTCCCTTGGTGATTTCACCAACTTCTATGGATTCAACTATCACCTCTATGCTGGTGATTCTCAAATAGCCTTAAGCTCTGAAGACCTCAAGTTTCATTACTCCAATTGTCTTAAGACATCTTGAACTAGATTGACTCATAGATATCTCATACTCACCATGTCCAAAACTGAACTCATTATCTTCTTCCCCTATTCCCAAACCATCTTTTCTTCTGAACGTCCCTGCTACCGTCCAGGGAATAGGCATCATTCCAATTACCCAAGTTTGCAATCTATCATCCTCAATTCCTCCATATCCAATCTGATGCTTAGTCCTACTGTTTCTACCTTTATGACCTCTTGTATACTTTTTCTTGTCTCCCCTAACACTGCCACTACCTGCATCACCTCGTGCCTGGACTACTGCAATAACCAGCTGGTCTCCATGCCTCAAGTCTCTTGCCATTTCAGCCTATCCTCCATTTAGATATTAAAGTGATCTTCCTAAAGCACAAGTCTGGCCATGTCACATTCCTACTCAATAAACTCAAGTGGCTCCCTATTATCTTCAGGATCAAATATAAAAGCCACTCTTAAAACATTCAAAGTCTTTCATAACCCAGACCCCTCCTACCTATCCAATCTCCTTATACGTTATTCACCCTTGACATGATCCAGTAACACCAGAGTCTTTGCTGTTACTTGAACACAATAATGTGTATCCTGACTGCATTTTCACTGGTTGTCCCCCTTGCCTGGAATTCTCTCACTTTCTCATCTCTACTTCCTGGTTTAAAATTCCACCCACCAGAAGCCTTCCTTGATTTCCCTCAATAGTAGTGCCTTTCCTTTGTTGATTATCTGCAATTTATCCAATAAACAAACAAACAAACAAATAAATAAATAAATATGCACATAGTTATTCATATGCTGCCCCTCCCATTAGACTGTGAGCTCTTTGGGAGCAGGGTCTGTCTTTTGCCTTTCTTTGTATCCCCAGTGTTTATCACAGTGTTGGCACACAGGAGGCACATAATATATGCTTAATGATCAAATTAAAAAGCACACTTTTAAAATGCTTCCTCTTATACTTTGTCCAAAGAATTTCCACTAGGTTTAAATTTGCAGCCTTAAATTACTCATTCAAAAGAGCTATTAAAAGTTTTACTCCTGCCTGAAAACCAAAATGTCAGAGAAATTTAAGCTATGAAACAGCATTACACAGCACTGTCTTCTGATTTAGGATGTAGAACTACTTTAATAATTTACATATGAAAGTAGATTAATTTAACAATACCAGCCTATAGTCACCCTATTAATTTATGTATGTTCATAGTACTAAATTTTTGTTTTTCTAGTTTAACAATCAGAAATGAGGCAGATATGAAAATAAAGTCTGTACTTTTTAAATACATGTAAAAGAGACATGTAATGCACAACAAATATGAGATTTTAAAGAGTCATATGCATCACCTGACTGGTTAGGGGAGTGGCTGACCAAATCCCGAATGGGAGGCATGCCTATGAAAAAGCAAGAAATTACAGAATTATTACTAAATTGAGGTTGGTTTCTTTTTTGTTTGTTTTTTTGGTTCAGGGAGCTAGCTCTCTACATAATTGTTCTAAACGAATTATTAACTGTAGATGGAAGGCTAACCTTTCCCAAAATAAATTTGCTGATAATTTCTTACCTGGGTATATTTTATGCAGTACAACAATAAATGATTCTAAATTGCCAAGTAATAGTGAAATCTGATATCCTGCTTATATATATATATATATATATATTTTAATAAACTCATCTTAAAACACATTTCAAGGCATAAAAAAATCTCATCATACTTTTGGGTATGTCACAATTTGTTAAGAATTTAGCTTTTTTCATCTTTACCATGAGGACATTAAGAATACATGATTCTTTGGCTATAAAATGCTATGATTCTATTCGCAAAGCTTTGGGGATTAATTTTACTCAGTGACTTGTATTTCCATATATATAATTCCACGAAACAAAATGATAGCCATAAGCTAATTTTTTTTTAGTTAAAAAATTATACCAACCATTTGAACCATTTTGCTTTTCATCATTTATGGGTACATTCCTTATGAATTGTAGGGCCAAAGAGTAAAATTAAATTAGTGGTCCTTTGCTCTAGAGACAGTTTATCAATGATGCTACAAAATCAAATTCATATAGAATAAGGGCATAGATTTTTCATAACACTCGAGGGAAAAAAAAACCCTAAACCAACTATTCAACACAAAGCCTGTTTGAGGCTTAACCTGCTATTTTGGTTCAAAGTGTTTTGAGACCTTGGTTCTCATCCTGGACCAACACTACCTAGCTGAGTCACCAATGCCAGTCACATTAACTTATACTAAAGGACATTTAATTCAATTACCCATCTCTATCTTTAAAATGGGATAGGAGGTTGTAGTTGGATTAAGTGACCTCTAATAATCTTTGAAGTTTTAAAAATCTGATTTTAATGACTACAAGGTAAATCTCACTATAGATGTCAAACCCTGAGTAAGTATAAAACCAATAATTCTCCCGCAGAATAGATGACAAAATATATTTTGCTCTCCTAAGCAAAGAAGGGAAAGACTATTGGACATTATGTCACATATAAAGTGATGGTATTCCTTGCTATTTTCTTTTTTGAAAACCTTGCTGGTTTTCTTTTTTGCAAGGGAGGATTCAAATTCTGGAGTAGGTATGGGAAGATATCCAGGAATGGCTAATACAGGAAAAAAAAATCAACAAAACTTATTTTTAAAATAAAATTTTAGATATAAAATTATATAATTCTATGTATAGCAATAATCTTTATGTAAGTTAAAAGGGGCAAAATTAACAGATATTCAGGATTTTGACCTGTTACCTATTTGTGGTCAAAGTACAATATCTTCTTAATCAAACTGTCAAAAACAGGTTAAAAAACCAGGATCAAGGGGCTCTTGTTTGATGATTTTAAATGAACTCAAGGAATAAGGAAACCACTGGCTAAAATGTGAAATTATCACTGTGCCAGAGGGACTGATAGTTTACATTTGGGAAGTGTTGCTCACATAAATTCTATTTACATGATTCTAAAGGGGACAATGGAAGTTAGAGTTGTGTTTCTGGTGAAGCTGCTGTAATCTCCATTTAAAGACATTATCATTGAATATACTGACAAAAATAACCTATTGGGGAAAGGAAACATAGTCGATGGGAAATTATGCCTGATTTATTGTGGTTTGTTGATAGGATAAAAGATGGGTATAGCAGAGCAACTGGCACATATAAATTACTCAAACACTTTCAAAAATGCTTAGACAAAATTTTTTTAAAAAGCTATTAAAAAAACTGAATCATAATGCCATAAGAGGGTCTAGGACTTAATTTTTTCACAGATAAGGAAATTGTCTGGATATAGGATACAATGAATAAACAGGTACTTTTTTTTTTGGAGGAGAAATATAAAATGCAAGGTTACATAAAGACTAATGCAAAGACTAATTTTATTTAAAATATTTATAAGTTATATGGAGAAGGGAGCACACATTGAAATCTACTAGCTCTAAGATAATATTAAACTCTTCCAGGTTTTCATATGGGAACAGGCTACAAATAAAAGCTTACAAATCATAAGATGGAATTAAGGAGTTGAACAGATTCTAGATGTCATGTAATCTAACCCCTTCAAATTATAGGTGAGAAAAATAAAGCCCAGAGAAACTGAATGACCTGTCCAAGGTCACATAAGTGGTGGCCCAGAGGGGATTCAAAACTAGCTCAACTCAAGCTACAGCACGATTTCCACTATATCTCACTGTCTATACAAAGTGGGCCAAAGAGTGGCAGGTGAATTTTAACAATTTAAATAAATGAAATTCTGAAATACATGCCACAGTCCAAGAGTTATTATAAACTGGGCTATTATTAGGAAATAACTATTGTAATGATGCTTAAAGCAGTTTGTTTTGGAATTACCTGCTCCAAATAATTTGCTTCATTTTACAAAGTGAAGAAAATTGAAGGTCAGAGGGCTTAAGTGACTTTTATGCAGTAACATGATTAGTAAATGATGAATGTGGGACTGAACAGAGGACTTCAGATTCCAAGTGCAGTGATCTTTCTAACATAAAATGTATTCTTCTTTTCTAAACATCCAGATAAAAAATACAACAAACTGTTAGGCAGTAAGAAATGTATTAAAAAGAAAATATTTTACTCATATAAAAATGGTGATGTAACAGTACCCATGTGGTACTAAAAGAGTAACTAAAATGACTGAAGGATGAGGCTTAGGGAATTGCAATATTGAGACAGATTGAAAAAAAAATAAGGATCCTTTAGTCCAAAAGATACAAGGTGAAAGACATGACTAAAATCTATGAAATAAAGTCAGTGAATGAGGAACATGACTTATTAATCAAATCCTGAGATACTAAAGCACTCTATGGAACTCAAGGGAATTAAATGCTTAGAATAACAGGTTACATTTGTATAGCACTTTAAAAAAGTTTCCATATCTATTACCTCTTTTGTTCTTCATAGTGAACCCTGAGAATAAAGTTTTCATAAATTCTTTAGTCATGGAAAAGAAAGTATTGCTTCATACAATGGGGTAAAAAAACTTTTGGATCTCTTTAAAGAATAAGCAGAGTACATGAAAAGCTTCAGAAAGGGTCTGGACAAATTTATCAATTAGCCAGAAACAAAATGGCTACTAAGAAAATCTAAACTTTTAAGGATGAATTCAAAAAGGAAAGCTTTGCTTGTTTATGCTGATACACTGCAGTCTTTTTTTTTTGGCACCAGATTATTGTCATGAATACATTTAAGGGAATTGTATTTTGGAATAGTATACCTTTTTTCTACGTCTAGGAATATAGGAATTGCTCTACTGAGAATCCATTCTTCTTGATGCTGTCTAAACATCAGGTAAGTCTTAAGTCTTATCAACCTAAATCAACTACATTTCACTTTTTTCGTTAGAAGGATTTCATTCCTTCAGATATTCAAATGGAAAACTACTTTTTTCTGTACCGTACAGGAACTGGTAGGCAGTATATTTATGAAGTTGGGCCTATATAAATGATCATTTATACGAAAAAAGGTTTCTCACATGGTCTTTCTAAAATAATAAAAAAAGCAGCTATTTCATGAAATAACAATTATTTTATAATAGCCCATAACTTCTATGAAAACATATTTAGCACACTGACTAGAACTATATTTTAAAAAGAAAAAAACTAATAGTAGAAATAGACTTAAAAAGACACTGAGCACAAGCATTTTTGTTGTTTGTAAATTTCTTTGGTAAAAACTTTGTTAAATGTTACAGATTTATGTAAAATTTTATTTCTTATTTTATATATGTATTTGACTGTTTTTATCTATGGTTGTATTTATAATAGAAAATGAAAACATTTTACAAAATTATTAAATGTTAAGGGGAAAAAGTATCTAAATCAATTCAGAAACCAGAACTTAAAATTTAAAATGTTCAGAATGTTGATGTTTTAGGAGATTTCAGGCTAGGGCTAGGCATTTTTTAAAGTGCTTGATACAATTCAATGCCACTGCCACCTTTCTGGTAAAAAATGAATACCCAAAAGGACATGATCAGCATGACAACTCCAACTTCTTGTTTATATTATAAACTGAAAGTATGTACTACTCAGAAACAGGTATTGGGAAGGTAGTATGTTCACCTTCTTCTCCTGGAGATAGGCAGTTACAGGCAACAAGATTTTACTGATGTTTAGTTTTCTGAAGAAAGTTTCAACTCCTGACCCCAAGAATTCCAAACTCCTGAAAAAGATGGTGAAATAAAAAATCTATACTTACACTTCAATACTTCAAGGACCTCTGATTTCCTTGGTATAGGTACCCAATCCAATGATATAGATCCCAACCCCTCCATCATTTAGTAGTTAGCCTTTGCACATTGCTGTGGCCAAAAACCAATCATCACCTGTTTACTGAGAGTGTGGGGATGAGACTCTTGGAGCTTGGTTTGATTCTTGGACAACTGACATAAAGTCGGTTGTTAGGGCTCTTCCAGCCTGGCAGAAGTTGTGAAGAGGTTATCCATTGCTGGAATACTCATTAAGATTCCACCTCCACATAATGATGAGGATCTAAAATAATCCTTGTAATTTCAGGAAAGGGAAGCATCAGCATCAAGCTACTTTTGGCTGTTTTTGTTTTTTTTTTTTTTTTTAAGTGAGGCAATTGGGGTTAAATGACTTGCCCAGAGTCACACAGCTAGGAAGTATTATGTGTCTGAGGCCAGATTTGAACTCAGGTCCTCCTGACTCCAGGGCCGGTGCTCTATCCACTGCGCCACCTAGCTGCCCCAACTTTTGGCTATCTTATTAAATATCAAAATGATTTCATCTCTGGGGGAAAATGATTATTTCCCCAAATAGAGCTATGCGATTAGGATCAGACCATTAAGTTCTGAATAATGTAGCTAATACCACTTTTTCATATCTATAAAGCTTTGAAATATACAAAATCAAATGTTGATCACAACAATGATTTGTGCAGGCAGTAAAAATATGTTTGTTAATATCGCTTAAATTTTTACCAATATATCCATTTATAATATCTGAACCATTTTCAGTCACTCCTAGAGAATTATTTCCTTATGCTATTTACAAAAAGACAATATCTTCACTCACTATAGTTAAGAGATAATATGTCAAGTTAAGTAGTGAGCTAAGGGTTCCTAGAGAATCATATATTGGGCAAGATCTCAAGTAGGTCTTGCAAGGGCCATACTTGCCGATCCTCACACTTTACCTCCCCAATGTGCAAGCCTGACTTCTATCTAAGCAGTAGCAGATTGTCTCTAAGCTATTTCACCCAATCACTGGTCTCTCTTGCTATTAACATGTGACAGGAATAGAAGACAAACTCAAAAACATATTGGAATTGCTCTTTGGAGGTTTGACGGAATTTGCTGATAAATCCCTGGTACTGGAGTTTGTTTCTTTGGTAGTTAATTTATGCATAGTTAAATTTTTTTCTCAGGTTGAGTTGTTTAAATTATCTATTTCTTATTTTGTTAATCAATAACAGGGACAAAGGTGGTATAATCAGAGGCTTAACTATGTGTAGAGCTTTGTCAGCTGTGGGACCAATGAGAGTCATCTATTAAACTTATTACCTCCCTACCAGCAGGTCCTGGTATAGTTCCTTGCATAGTCACTCATTAAATATTAAATGATTTTATTCTATTTCTGCTATCATCTACACAGAAGGAAGAGTAAGAACTAAAGAGATCACCCATGTCCTTGTATAAACTGTCACTGTTCTCCTAGTTCTGTGCCATATTCTGCATTGTCCTGTGTTCCATATATGTGGAAACAATCTCTCTCAACTAGTTGAGTGGAAGAGAAGTTTCATATGTGGACAAGAATGTGCCCAAATGGACCACTGTACAATGGAAGGATTTCCTGGTACCAGAAGAGTCGCTTTCCCAATCTGAGATCTTAGTTATACTATTTCAAAATAAGGGAGTAACTGGACTATGTAACCTTTAAGGAGCTCTCCATAATTATGATAGGAGCTGGGGTAATGGATGTCTTCCATGTGGATATTCTTAAGCATATGTTCCTAAGGTCTATATAAGGATAACACCGTATTCTGCTGTGGGGGTGGCCAATTACAAAACATCTTGATGAAAATATTACAGCCAGTGGTCATATGTTTACTAGGAAGGAAGTTTTTCTTCCAGTTAAATCAGCCTTGGCTCCTGGATATTTCTAACTGCTTACTTGTTTCATTTAGCTTGCAAGCTCCATGAAGGCAGGGACAATGCCTCATTTCATTTTACATTCCTCAGTATCTAAAATGTGTTTTGTGTATATCAGACAGTTATCAGTACTACTGTTAGAATAGAATCTTTAGTAGGAGCTAAGGAGGTAAGGAACAAGAGTGCTAAATTTTTAAAAAGCCAAGGCTTTTTAACAGAAAGTAAAGACTAAAACTAAGGCAAGTTTGATTCCAATTGGTAATACTTCTACTCCAAATGCCCTAGATATTTGGTAGTTTGATTCTGAGCATACAATTATGGATACAGATAATCTGTATCTACCACTGTACACTCCAACCTCCCATTTTAACCTCAAACATCACCTCCTCTCTTGATAATACTGAAGTTATCAACTTGCTTGTAAAGGGCATTTTTTTTGGAATAAATTTAGTTTCGCTTTAAAGACAAATCCATAGAAGTATTTTTGGGTCTCTTTTTCAGTCTTTTTGACATGTAGATAATCTTATGGAGTCAGAAAACAGTCAATTTGGGGCAAATAACAGGATACACTTATTTCTCTTGAACACAGCCTGTGCTAGTCCCTATTTACCTGCTTATATGAAAAGAAATAGTATAATTCATTCAGACCTGTTTCTGTAGAAGAGAGAGAAAGGTGGTAGGAAAAAGGACTTAAGGGTATTAAGTCACTTAAAAATCAGACCACGAGTTTGGCCGGTGAAAATTTTAGTGGACAAATTTCTGGTAAATGCTATTCAAGATTTTGCATACATATAGCTATCTAGATATACTTTTTATACTCCTATACCAAGTTTTTAATAAATACTAACATCATTAATCAATATTCAAGTATTATTAAATAAAAATATATTATTATAAGGGATAAAGTTTTAAAACTAATTAATTGCTAAGATACAAATGATTGTATGGGCACTGGAACTAATGATTATCAAATATTTAATCTGTTCACTTATGACTGGTAAAAACTTCAGTTGATATTGATTCATGCTAAATTCAATGATTTTTAACGATAGAAGAAATACCTTTTCTTACCTGGTTGTTTTTTTTTGTTCTGTATCTTTCCATTAGTCACTGGTTGTTTACTTGTTATACTATTGCCTCTTGACTGGGTATTTAATACTTTAGAAGCAGGTCCCAGGTTTGTTGCTATAGTAGGCAACTGCTGACCTCTCTTTAGAAGTTGTTTATGTTCCTGGTGCCGAAATCGTGGTGGTACTTCACCACGAGGGTAACGAGGCAAGGCCTGCTGCTGTTGCTGCTGACTGTTGGCTGTGGCCCGCTTGGCATTATTCTGAGTGCTGGTTGCTGTGGAAGTGCCGTTAGTAGAGTTGGCAGGCTGAGGCTGGCTTACACTGGGCTTTATCTGTTCTGACACTAATAACAACAAAAAGAAGGAAAATACATAAGGTTATCCAGTAAAGCACACAACTACAGCAAGAAATATTTTAACAAAAATAAAATCTGTGAAAAGCAATCCTATTGGAAACACAAAATATGCTACAAATGGGTAGGAGTATAAACACTAACGAGTGAAATATCTCATTTATCACGGTAAGAACCAGTAATCAAATCATGTTACTATTGATGACCTGTTCACAAAGTAGGGTAGAGGAGCTGAAACTTTGCTTCCTTCAAGTGCTGGAAAATGAACTTCAATTAATTACATGATCATGTGATTACAGGACCTAGGAAGAATAAAACTACAGTGAATCAGTGCCCAGTGCTTCTGAAATATCCACAAGCACTTGCAATTTTTTAAAGCTCATTTCAAAATGTTTTATCCTTACTTGTTTCTTCTACCTGTTGAATAACCACTTAAAATAAAAGAGAGTAAGGGAAAAATTAAAACTGTTTTATGGCTGAAAAATACTGCTAAAGTATACAATCAACAACCACCTGAAAGATGCTTAAAAGCACTGATAATCAAAGAAATATAAATTAAACCAACTCTATGATACACCTTCCCTCCTCCACCCAAATAGGCAAAGATGGAGAAAGACAACAAGTTTTAGCCTGAATGTCAGAAAACAGGTATGCCACCCCAGTGCTGGTGACACTGTTTTGGAAAACAATATGAAATTATATTTTGCATGGAAAGTAGACTTCCTGTCGAAGTTTTATGGCAGGACATGGATAATGGTCACCCAAGATAAGAAAGCATGGATAGTCTGTGATCTGCACAGCTAGAGACAATAGCCACAGGACACCATATATGAAATTAAGTACTGACGTACAGAATAGACAATAAAAGCTGCCAACAAATCTACACCTGCTGGTCTAGCAATCTCATGTTTAGGATTTTACACTATGAGTAAGAATAAACTTAGCTGTACAAAAATAGACATAGCACTATTTGTAACAACAATCAACTGGGAAAAAATTATGTGTCCAAATATTGGAGAACAGGTTCACAAACTGTAGCATATGTAATAAAATATTACCGTGCCATAAGGAAGAATACAAAGAAATATGGATAAACATATGAAATCATTCCTTTATAAAACAGGGAAAAACAACACATTCTTACAATAATTATGTAAGACAAAAAATTAAATAGCAACAGATCTCATGGACAATACTGATAACTTTATTGAAATTAATATGCAGTTTTCAGATCCTTGTAATCAACTGATAAATAACAAAAGGGTACAGTTGCATATACAAACATTTGAAACCATGCTTTATGTCTTTCTCTCATTTGGGTGGTTCTGGGGTTTGGCTTGTTCTTTTTTGATTGCTTTTCCTTGGAAATTGTTTTACTGGGTGCTGTTCTTATGATTTTGCTCATACAATCTCCTTGTTCACATATTTGAACACTTGTAGAGGATCTACCTTAATCCCTCTCAGCAACAGTCTCCTTATCTGTAGAACAGCGATAATAATAGCATCCACCTCATGGGGTTGTTGTGAGGATCCAATGAGATAATACATGTAAAGCAGTTTGCAAACTTTAAAGCATTATATAAACGCCCATCACTATTATGCTACTCTGTGTTATGCACTGGAGAAACAAAGACAAAAAGAAAGAGGGCCTGTCTTCAAGGGAGAGAACATGTACACACTGAGGCATATTCAAAGGCTAAGTGACTGGGAAGATCAGCAAAGGTGTCATGCAGAAGGTGCTTCGAATTGCCTTGAAGGTAACGAGAGAGTATCAGAAACTGAAAATGAGAAGCACTATTCCAAGCAGGGGTCAGATCCAAAGCAAAGTCATGGAGACAGGATATGAAGCACTATGTAGAAAAAACAGTAAGGTAGGAAAATATGTCTCAATCACAGAGTCTGTGAAGGAGAATAATGCATAATAAGTCTGTAAAAGAAATAGGCTATAAAGTGTTTTAACGCCAAACAAGAGTTGGTTAAGTGGTTCCTCTAACATCAAACAGCTAGTGGGTGGTGAAGCAGAAATTCAAAGTTGTATTTTCTAATTCCAACTAACATGTTGTTTCTACTGTACTAAGCAACAATGCTAATTAAGGACAAATGAACCTCACACTGCTAGGGTAACTAATACTATATTGTAATATATGTATTTATATCTATATTTCCCCAAATGTTTATATCTATATATCTATATCTATAAAATGGTACAGTGTAAAGCATCAGAAGACCTGGATTTTAATTTTGCTTCTATCACTCACTTACTGCCTATTTGACCATGAACAAGGCCCTTCACTTCCTTGGCCTTACTCCTCATCTGTCAAACAAGGGGATTGGATTAGATTATTTATGATCCCGAGGGTTACATCCAGTGGCAGCCCAGTAATAGTGTGAAAAGCACTGGATATGTAACCAGAGGGCCTGGATTCAAATCCCAGGGGGAAGGGAAGGGAATATAAGGGAATAAGCATTTATATAGCACCTACTATGTGCCAGGTAATATGCTAAGTGCTTTACACATATTATTTTATTTGATCCTCACAACAACCCTGACAGTGCTATTATTATCCGAATACAGTTGAGGAAACTAAGGCAAACGGAGGCGAAGTGATTTTTGCCCAGGGTCACACAGCTAGGAAGCGTCTGTGGCTAGATTCAAACTCAGGCCTTCTTAACTCCAGGCACAGCACTCTGTCCACTGTACCATCAGTAGTCTCTAGAATTTTTTTTTGTGGGGGGGGGAGTAGGGGTGGCTCTAGAATTCTGACAGTTATTAGCTTGTGACTATGGGCAAATCATTTCACATCTCTAAGTCTCAGTTTTTTCATATATAAAATAAATATAAAGCTTATTATACTACCTCATAGGACTTTGTGAAGATCCTTTGTAAAATTTGAAGGGCCTATACAAAATATGAATTATTAACATTATTATGATGGTGATTATTAAGAACCTCATATTTAAATTTTTCCTACGTCAGAGACTCAATATCAACATTCTAGGTCACTGCCAGAAAAAAAAAAAAGGTCTGGATAACAGGTTTTTATTCTAACGTGTAAATGTATAGTTTTAAAGTATTTTGTAGTGCTTTCCTAGGTAGATACTCAAATTTAACACTTGCTTTGTGTAGCAAATTTCTATCTTCATAATGAAGAAGTAAATCAATTCAGCATCTGATCAAATCACTGCTGATTCATATTTGGAGCCAAAGTCATAGAGAGTAGAACTAGAAGGAACCTTAGAGGTCAGTTAGCCCAATTAAACCTCAATTTACAGATGGAGAAATCAAGGCCCAGAGAAAGGTAAGGATGATTTGCCTTAGGCTTCACAAATAATTTAGTGACAAGGCTAAAGTTAGGTCCCAGTTCAATTCAACTAACTGATCAACAAGCAATAATTGAGTGCTTACTGTGTCAGGCACTGTGCTAAGCACTATGAATACAAACTATTCCTAGGTAAGTAAACAGAGGAGGTGACAAACTAGATGAAGTGATTGGGGAGTGGGGGGTGTCTCACTATGGGGGATCAATAAAGGCCTCTGTGAAGGAGGCAGGGACCCCAGAGGTGGAGATCAGGTGGAAGACCACTTCAGGCATGGGGAATATGGGAGGTGGGCCTGGGGAAAAGGTCACTTGGTGCCTGGCTAACTAGCTTCCTGACTCCTACTCGGTTAGTTCTTTCTTTCTTCCTTTTTTTTTTTTTTTTTTTGGTGAGGCAATTGGGATTAAGTGATAGGTTAGTGCTTTCATTGTGCTAAGCCACCTTTTTGAAATCACAACTAATAATAGGGCCTGAAGAACAACTCTGATTATTTTATTTCTTCTTTGATCTTTTAAAATAAAACCAACCAGGTGTTCATGATGTACAGTCTAGTCATTTCACCTTCCTGGGCTTCAATTTACTCATCTGCAAAATAAGAGGACTGGATGAAATGACCTCAGAGATCCACTCTATGAAGTCCTTATCATTTTTGTATTTATGTTCTTTATGTTTATTTTGTATACACACATATACACCCCCCATCTCTGTTTACCAGGAGCTTACATATTAACAGGGGAGACAGATTATTCATTCATTCATCCATCCATCCATCTCCTCGTTAGTATGCAAGCTCCTTGTAAGCAAAGATAGTTTCATTTCCATGCATTTCTCTTGGGGTTCCCCACACCTCAATACACTGAGCAGACACCGAGACCTAGACCAGGCACTTAACCCACGGCACAGGTAAGAACAAGTCAATACAAGGAAAGTGCTAAAAAGAGCTACAGAGCCTACCAATCAGGGGTGTTAACCTGGGGTCTGCATACTTGTTTTGAATATTCTGATAACTATACTTCAGTATAACTGGTTTCCTTCCTAATTCTATGTATTTTAAAACATTCTGAGGGGTCCACCAGACTGCCAAAGAGGCCAAAGACATAAAAAAGCTAAGAAACCCTATGGGCTAAGTGCAATAGTGTTCCAAGACAAGAAAAATCAGTGTGGGTTTAAGCTTCTTAGAGGAAGCAGACTTGACTTGGGCCACGGAAAAGGATGGTTAAAGACATTATAGGTTTAGGTAGAGATTGGGAGTAGGGCAGCATGAGTAACAGCAAAGATCAGAAGCCATTACATCACAGAATTTTAGAACTATAATGGACCTTAGGGACTCAGCAAGTTGTCAAGGTGAACTTGAAGCAGAGCCAGGGATAAGTCCCTGACCTTCAGACTCCTAGTTTCCACCAAGTGGCCTGTATGAAGGAATGAGAATGGCTTGTTTGGGAGAGAATGGTTTAAACTAGAGAAAACTTTACATTGGGGAGGACAATGAAATTAGGCTAAACAAGCAACTGGGGCCAGATTACAGAGGGCCTTGATATCTAGGTTGGAATTTAGACTTAATGTAAACAGTAGCTAATCACAGGTAGGTGAAATATGAAATAACGTAAGTCGTATTTAAGTGGTATGCAATATAAATTAAGAAGAAAGGATCAAATCTAGGATAAAGGAAGGGA